GGATTTGAATGCGCATGATCCATGCAAATCCAGCATAAAAAGTGTGCTGCTGAATCAAAAACAAAGTTCTGCCTCCTCTATTTGTTATTTAGTTATTTCATAAAATTTATACACTACTTGATTGTTAAAAACCTCAAAGTAGGTCGCAAAAGTGCACTTGCTTCTGCTGCGCACAACTGGGTGCAGACCTTGCCTTCCAAAGGCCGCTCACCTCTTGACCCCATGCAAGAAGTTTCTATGAAGGCCTGCCCCCTCAAAAAATTTTATTGTGGGGGCAAAGGACCTTGGGCTCCATATCACTGTGCCTGTGATACACAGCAAGCGAGGGTAGCGCATAGGGGAGGAAAAGTTGGGAAATACAGTGGTACCTTGGGTTAAGTACTTAATTCGTTCCGGAGGTCCATACTTAACCTGAAACTGTTCTTAACCTGAAGCACCACTTTAACTAATGGGGCCTCCTGCTGCTGCCGTGCCACCAGAGCACGATTTCTGTTCTCACCCTGAAGCAAAGTTCTTAACCTGAAGCACTATTTCTGGGTTAGCAGAGTCTGAAGCATATGTAACCTGAGGCACCACTGTACCGTGCGACTAGGAGTTCTTGCACTGGCTTCCATTAGTGCGCTTGGGTTTGTTTAATCTGGCCTGTGACTGTTGGGTTGTTGAGGGCAAGCCATGGAAATTAACATGTTAGCAAAGAGAAGTGAAAAATTGCCTAAGGTGGGCGAGGAGAGCATTTTCCAGGAAAAGCAAAATGATAGCTAGGGCTGGCTCATCTCTGCTAGGAGGGAGTCCTTGCTGCAATCTTTATTGTCAGTTAAAAGAGAGAGAGTGAGTAAGTAAGTATTTACCCAAATCGCAGTACAGTGGTACCTCAGGTTAAGTACTTAATTCGTTCCGGAGGTCTGTTCTTAACCTGAAACTGTTCTTAACCTGAAGACCACTTTAGCTAATAGAGCCTCCCGCTGCCGCTGTGCCGCCGCCACACAATTTCCGTTCTCATCCTGAAGCAAAGTTCTTAACCCGAGGTACTATTTCTGGGTTAGCGGAGTCTGTAACCTGAAGCGTCTGTAACCCGAGGTACCACTGTATAGAGTCACATTGTATTGAACTGATACAGAGGAGTACAGAGGGAGTGGCTCACTAGGGGTTAAAAGACCAAAAAAGACAAGCCTTTTTAAAAAACAAAAAACCACTAAGCCCCTAAATGAAAACTTTCTTCTGGTTCCCTGCCCCTCCCTCCCTTGTTCTGGGGCTCATAGATTCGATAAAACCACTCAGCTTGGAATGTGTTGGGAATGAGGGGAAGAGGACCTCATGCTGTGAGTCTCTAAAAGAACTTTCAGATTCCAGCCCCTCTGAGTCTGCAAAAGTTCTGTCTGTCTGGCATCGTTAAAATGCTTGTGAAACAACTGATGGTTTTTTGGGAGTATGCAAATGAGACTTTTGTATGTTCTCCCTTCCGCCGAAAGAGGAGAGATGTCCCTTTAAACACACACACACACAAACACACACAAAAACCTGATCTCCTGTGTCTGTGTTTCCTCCCTCCCTCCCTCCCTCCCCCCCGTCCTTTCTCTCATTTTGGGGAAGGGTCCTACATTTCTTTCTCCCTTTTTCATGGTAATTAGAACAAGAAGCTAACACCAGCCAAGGAAGAGTGAGCGCAAACAAGACCCCTATAGGCAGCCTAGTGCATTAATGTAAAATATGCCCAGAGAACATAACTTGTCAGAGAGGATTATTTCTGTTCAGTGAATCTACAGGGGCCCCCTTTGCTCCGCCACTCAGCGTCTGGCGAGAGACAGAAAGAGAGAGAGAGAGAGAGAGAGTAGCCATTAGTGGGTAGCTACTGTGGCATTGATGTTTGAGCGCACTTCTGAACCGGCTTTTGTTGCAAATATCGGTGCAGAAAGCATGCGCTGTCCGAAATCCGCTGTTACTATGAGAAGTGAGGAGCTTCTTTTAAGGTAGGTTGATGCCTCCTTTGTACAGGCGGGGGCTGTTTGAGGCGGGGGCTTTTTCCCAGTCGCCAGGGCCCATTGTGGCTAGGTATCAAGTACTCTTCTCCCACTCCAATTATTTTTTGGGGGGGGAGGGAAAGGGGGAGGATATATTCATATACACCCTGCTTTTCTGTAAGTGGTGTTTCTGTATCATGAACCTCCAGTTACATACGGCTTGAAATGCAAAAGCCAACAGGAAGCAATTTCATTTTTTTCATTTTTTAAAAAAAGCAATTTCGCCACCCCCACCCGTCCCAAACCCAACAGTTTCTTTATGATGCCTCTTCTATTGCATCCTTCATTAATAGGGATTGGGGGGTGGGAAAGGCACGAGGGAAGAGCAATAGGGAGACTCCATATTAGAGCCGATTCCCTAAATGCCACTTAAATTGGTGCTTGGGTTATATAAATAACCTCTTCTAATCACTCGCCTCCTACAGCTCACACTGACCGCTTGGCGCTTTTCTCGGGAGAGGGGGACAAATAGATAAATACATATATATTTATAATTGGAAGAAACTCATATTGCATAGATGAATGGATTCTTAGCGTTCTTGGGTGTCATGAAGAGCCAGCCGTTAGCAGAAGCTTTTCAGAGCAAGGAAGGGGGGCGGGGAAGGGGAGAGAGAGAGCGCCAGAATTTCTGCTCAGACTGGCACCCTGTTTCTGGGGCGGGGGGGGGCGGGGTGTAGTCTTTTGTCTATTTTCCCTAGCAGACATCCGAGCGTGTGAATACATCTTTTTGGCTGACAATGGGACGATAGAACAATAGAGCTGTCAAGCTAGCTTAATGTATGTCTGGGGTTGTAGTTGTGTGTGTTTTGTTATATATAAAAAATGCTATCTCTTTTAAAAAACACACACCAAAAAACAGCAACAACCCCGTCCCATTTAATTTCCACTAATCTTATTTGTATAGACTGTGAAATGAAGTACACTCCCATTGTTTATCTCTTTAAGGAGAGTGAGTGAGAAAGAGAGAGAGAGAGAAAGATCCACTATTTCCCTCCAACCCCTTGCATATTATGACTTTGTCTACCAGAACAAAGTTGCAAAGCTATATACCGGCTTCTTTAATTTCAGGAAGGAAACTTACAAATCCTGAATGCTTAATAGGGAAACATTTTGGCTGGACAAGTGGTTTCTTGTTAGCCTTCCTCAAACTCTTATCTTATTTTGGATCATTTCCACTTGCTCCACAGTTTCACAGAGATGCTACTTAAATTTTAGTCTTGGGAATAACAATAAAAAAATCCAGCTGTTCTAACATATGTCAGAATTTCTGAAGACATAACAAATAGCAAACACTCCACTTCCTCTAGTGCCTGTCTTGAAGAGAGAAAAAACCCACTCAGGGTTGCAAGGTTGTAAAAGATGATTTCTAAAAATTAAAACGTTCTCATATCTGCAAAATGGGACTGGGTGGCGGTGTTATTAACCATGAGATCCACGTGTGAATAACGCTATTTTGAAATAATAAAAAGTTAGCTCATTTCATGGCAGTTGGAGGAATGGTTTTGCTTTGCATTTTTAACCTTCACGGTAAAGAGTTTCTTCCAAAGGTTTGTTTATGTTCACAGTAGCGTGATACTGACTTTGAATTGGGTTGAATTGTCTGTTTCGATCAGTACATTCGTGGGAGGTGAATAGGAATAATTTGTGGCAGCTCTCAAGCAAATCTGCCAAATCCGACACACAAACATTGTAGGGTTAAGGGGAGTCAGTCGTTTATATTTTATTTACTGCGTCAGGAAGTGCATTCAGGATTTCAGCTCAAGATTATGATCACTGCGAGTGGGAATTGGTGCTGTTCGTTTCAGGAATAATGTAAAGATGGGTGTTACAGTTTTGTGTCACCTATGTGAGGCAACCTGCTTGCTGTTGTAAATGCATCTGGCAATGTGGGTGTGACATAAAAGCAGGAGATACTTGTTTATGTTGTGAAGCAAATGATGGATGCCACTGAGGTGTGGTGTTCTACCCAAACTTTATTGTAATAAAAGAGGAAGGGTCATGTTTAAATATGGAGATACCATAATTGGCAATCAATGGCTCCAATCGAGTTAAAAGTTAATGGGCCAAGTTAATCATAGCTATCTTAAGCTTCGTTGATTGATTTGGATATAACTCTGACACAGCTGACTTCAGCTTGCTTGGGAGTCCTAATGGACACGTTGGTACAGTGGTACCTCGGGTTACAGACACTTCAGGTTACTGACGCTTCAGGTTACAGACTCCGCTAACCCAGAAATAGTACCTCAGGTTAAGAACTTTGCTTCAGGATGAGAACAGAAATCGTGCGGCAGCAGTGGGAGGCCCTATTAGCTAAAGTGGTACCTCAGGTGAAGAACAGTTTCAGGTTAAGAATGGACCTCCGGAACGAATTAAGTTCTTAACCCGAGGTACCACTGTATTGGCTTCAAGAAAAGTGGATTTTCACTTTAAGGCTCCCAATAGCTGCCTTTCCATTTGCACCCCAAGCAGATATACAACAGGCTCCCAACTTTATTGAATTCAGAAACTGAGATCTGCATCAAACCTGACAGGTTACTGAGGATCAGGCAAGGCATCCTTCTGTACACACTTGTTCCAGTCACAACTGGCTCCCTCTCTCCCGCCATCTTGCTTTGCTCATTTATTTATTACATTTGTGACCAACTCTTCCCCCCAAAGGAGCTTAGGGCGGCAAACATCACAATGCTAATACAGTGTTTTCAAAAAGCAGTGCACCTTCAGTTAGCACATGAAGCTTATACTTCATTCACCCAAGGGGCAGGCAGGGCTTATAAGCTAGTTCAAGCACCAACCCCACACATGGCTGGCATGCTCATGTGTTGCGGATCACTACACATTGCCAAACCTGTCCCTCTCCCATATAGGGCATGGAGAATTCCCCCTACTCTGCACACCAGTACCTGCCTTGTGTAAATGGGAGGAAAGTCACTGGGTCATAGAATCATGGCAGAGTTGGAAGAGACTGCCTGCAATGCAGGAATCTTTTGCCCAATGTGAGGCTTGAACCCACAACCCAGAGATTAAGAGTCTCATGCTTTGCCGACTGAGCTATCCCAGAAGATCTCTCCCAATGCTGCAATTCTGTACATATACAACAGAGCAGCTTCTTCCTCTCCCATCCCCCCAACTCCCTGCACACTCCCAAAATCAGGTTGGGGTCAATTTTGAGGAGCATAGGGGGAGAGGATAGAAAGTCGCATTTCACCAGCTGAACTACATGCACGGAACATTGGTGCTTTAGGGTAACTTAAATCTTGGGTAGTTCCATTCTGTCCTGGACCCGTCAAAGCCAGTTTCTTCAGGTTTTTTCACCCTTTGTTATTTATTTATTTTATCTCTCTCTCTCTCTCTCTCTCTCTCTCTCTCTCTCTCTCACACACACACACACACACACACAGTGTGCAATTACTGAAGTCTCCAAATAACATGAAATGCCATTGAGCAGATTTCACAGTTTCTAAGGTGTGCTCTGCTTCTGGCTTCTGGTTTGTTCTTGTCCCCTATGACAATTTGGAGTATTGTGAGTATCGAGAGTGCATGTCAACATAATTTAAAGAAGGAACAACCTTCTCTGGGTAGATGATGCTCAGGTCGATGTGACATTTGTGCTGTGAAGTCCAGTCCAGCTCCCCTTGGTGCTGAAGCTGAAGCACTGAGCGATCCCCACATTCATTCCTGACAGGTGTATTTCTGCTGAGCTGCCTGGTTGTGGGTGTGCGCACACAAACTCTCACACAAAGTAGTTTGTGTGCACTGTATGGAAATTCAGGTTATGCCCATGCATATTAGGGCCAGCCTTTGTTTGATTCATCTTATTCAGCCAAGTTAGCTTCTTCAAGGGTTCTCTTAATGCTAGCTGAGCTTCAGAATATTGTTCCTTGGCATGCATTAAAACTAAGCAGCCCATCGCTTACCCTTTTTCTACTAAAAGCAAAATTGCAAATTGTTCACAGTCTTTGCAGTCATTGAAGCGCCCTGTCCTTTCGTTTTGAACATTGAAATGTACCCCATTGTGCTTCAACAGACCTTTTAGTTTTCCCTCAGAGCCATTAATGAATGACTTGACAATAATCTATGGAAGCTATCATCTACCGGTTGCTCATGTGGGTTTCGAATCAGATTTTAATTGGTTGTTGTTGGCGGTTTTCAATAGTAACTGTGTTATTCCAGGAGTACCTGTGTGCATATGTATGCTGATTACATTAATAATGATAATCTAATGTGAATGTTTCCTACGCCAGCTCCTTTACTCTTATGGATGATCTCTTTCCATTCTAGTGTTGCTTAGCCAAGTGATGCCCAGAGAGTAATATGTCTCTAACAACCACCACTGCTGCCGCCGCCCAGTTCCTTTGTTGAGACAAAGTGAAAGATTTATTCGGAAACCTTACATTCTTACCCATGCAAAGGAAAATAGGTGCTGGTGTTTCTCCCTTGTGTGCTATAACTCACAGTTGTCTGATGAATCAGATGGGTATAGCTTTGGGACTGACAAAAGAAAGCATTGCTTCTCATGGCCAAAACCACACCATTCATTTCAACTTTACACCACTTTAAACGGTCACGGCCTCCCCCCTCAAAATATTTTTTGGCAACTGCCCTTTGTTAAGGGTGCTGAGAGTTGCTGGGAGGCCCCTATTCCCCTCACACTGCTACAGTTCTCAAGAGCTCACTGTGAAGAAAACCGCTCTGTGAGTTGTAGCTCTGTGAAGGGAACTGGGGTCTCCTAACAACTCACAGTACCTTTAACAAACTAGAATTATTTGGGAGAAGGCATGACTCTTTGAAATGGTATCACGGTGCTTTAAATATCTGGTGTGAATGTGGCCAAAGTTTGCCTGTGGGACTCTCTACCATAGTGAAGGCTCACTAGATTAGTTGCCCTTTTAAAATGGATTAAGATGAATTAATGGAGGGAGGTTTAACTATGGTAAGGATGGAGAACTTCTGCCCAGGAGCCAAATGCCTCTCTGTCTGACCCTTGGGACTCTTCACGGGCCACACCTCTCCTACCAGGTCTCAACCCCTCACTTGCCCTGCTTCACACCCTCCTTGAATGTTTTTACCTGGCTGGAATATATCTGATGTTGCTTCTAAGACCTTATAACTGTACAAGAATAACAATTAGGGATTCATTGCAGTTGATCAATGCAGATCTCCATGTGCTACTTTTCAGCACACTATTTTCTGTGCATGTACATGGGCAAATCAAGGGACGCAGGTGGTGCTGTGGTTTGAACCACTGAGTCTCTTGGGCTTACTGATCAGAAGGTTGGCAGTTCAAATCCATGCGACGGGGTGAGCTCCCGTTGCTCTGTCCGAGCTTCTGTGAACCTAGCAGTTCAAAACACACCAGTGCAAGTAGATAAACAGGTACCGCTGTGGTGGGAAGGTAAATGGCATTTCAGTGAGCTCTGACACTCGTCACAGTCCTCCATGAACCAGTAGTGGTTTAGTCATGCTGGCCACATGACCCAGAAAGCTGTCTGTGGACAAACACTGGCTCCATTGGCCTGAAAAGCGAAATGAGTGCTGCACCCTATAGTCACCTTTGACTAGCCTTACCCATCCAGGGATCCTTTACCTTTACCTTTTTATGTTCAAATGATTTGGAGTGCTCCAATATCTTCTTTGGGAGTGACGAATGTTGTTGGTTATAACGGAGCTTGCACACCATTCCCTTATCTTCTCATGAGGTGGCCAAAGTATTGGAGCCTCAGCTTCAGGATCTGTCCTTCCAGTGAGCACTCAGGGCTGATTTCCTTCAGAATGGATAGGTTTGATCTTCTTGCAGTCCATGGGACTCTCAAGAGTCTCCTCCAGCACCATAATTCAAAAGCATCAATTCTTTGGGGATCAACCTCAGGTTAAGAAACAATGGTTCCTACATGGTTCCTACATGGCAGATGGGGATGGAGGCAGTGGGGTGGAGAGCCTAAATTCAAAGAGCGCAACTTGCCTAAGGCCACCTTGAGACTTGGTAGAGAAGGTCAGATTTGAAGTAGGGAGTTACTGTCTTGCATTTGTAGACTCTGTGCAATGCTGGTTTGCTAATTTCTTAACTGCTAAACAATCCGCAGGGAACTTTATAGCATTTTTTAAAATCTTCTTTTAAATGCACTGTTCCCCATTCATAGTGGAGACTGGCTAGCTGTCGTTCAGCTAACAGTTATCCATTCAAAACAGAAACCACCCAGCTGTTGTGCATCTGTCCACCCTTCCTTGTGTTCATCATTGTTCTCCATTTAAACCACATTCCTGGCTTGCTATTTTGCCAGGCTATTGCTGAGCCATTAACCAGTTCTCTAAGCGTATTTGTCACTTGCACCTTCTCTCATACCGGGAATGATCAACATGTTGAGGAGAGATCTTTCTCTTCTTTCTGAGTTGGTCCCTGCATTGAGCTGTCACTCAGAATGGCTTCTGTAAGGAAGTTCAGAACAACTTTACAGACTGTTGTTTCGTGATAGGCATCGGCTATACAAAACCTTAAACAGGAGTATCCCATTGCAGCTCTGCTGAGTCCCATAACTCTTCAATCATCTGCTCAGGGCAGGCTTTCATTTCAGTGTCACTTCCTTCCCCAGGAACCAGCACAAGGTGAGTTAAGAATGGGTGTCTACTTTAAGGACGTCTCTGTTGACCTCCGAAGTTCCTGTTGCTCATAAAGGTTCCTCTTGCTCAGGATTTGTGCTTAGAGAAATTGCTGGCTGCAGATATCCAGAGCTGTTGCCCCTCAAGCCCTTCTAAGTCTGGGGTTGGGCCAGGCAAAAGCTACAGTCAGGCAAAGAATATTAGACACCGAGAGACAACAGAACTGCTCAAGGTGCCCCGACTATAAAATTGGAGAAATCAAGAGATATATAGCCGCATCGGCAGCATATCTCTTCTTTCTTGTATCTAGAAATGCAAGAAGGGCCTTTACACTCACCAGAAGCTCGGCTCTGCCCTCGCCGGTCCTGGAAGGAGCCTTTAGAAAAGTCCCGTATTCTCAGAGACTTTGCACCTGTCCATTGGGAGAGACAGGAAGTCCAGAACACGTGATCTTTAGATGTCCCTTTTATGAAGAGGCACGTAGTGAGACCATTGATCCCCTACTGGTGAGGTTCGCCGACCTCCCGCAAAAGCAAAAAATTGACCTTTTCCTGTTAGGCAAAGATCAGAAGATGATCCGGATGGTCACCAGATTCTGTGTACAGATCTGTAGGTGCAGACCATCTCCCAACTCAAACTAGTCCGTCATGAAAATCCCCAAACTCAGTTCCATGGGTTATTCTGGGTCAGCTCCCTGCGATAGTTTATTGCTGTACATTGTTTTCAAATTTATTGTTGTACATTGTTTTAATTGTCTGTTTTTCTTCTGTGACTGTACCCCCAAGGGTGTTTTATAAGCTGGTCTCCTACTGTAATAAATTATCTATCTATCCAGAGTTGCAGTCTTCTGACTTTCTCCTTCCCCAGAAGCAGTGCGTAATTGTTGAATGTGCTTCACTGTGTTAGGCTGCAGGCATAGGATCCACAGCAAGCCACCTACTCTGCTAAACTCTCCGAGCCTCTGATACTCTGAACACACACCAAATCAATCTACATTGAAAGGGAAACAGTAGATAATTTGCCATATTTCAATATATTGTATGATCTTTGAAGTCTATTTTATGCCCGTGTTAAGGCTGCATTCAACAGTGAAAGCTGAGAAAGAAAGGTCCCTTAGATACATTCACAAAGTCACTTAAATAATACAGGGAGACTCCAAAGAGAAAAGAAATCCAGATAACCTTTTGCTGAGGACACTCCACAAAACAGTGTATGGTTTAAGAAGAAAGAGACAGAGAAGTTTTGTCTTTCTTACATCAAGCCTTGTAAATAGCAGGGAGACATTCAACCAAACATATACAGGAAAACACCCTCAGAATTACAAAGCCAATCAGAGTATGTTCTACCTCAGCAAACATCATGCCACTATGCCTGGTTGCTAAGCAAAGCCACTACTGCCATCTTGGTTATCTGCTTTAGTGATAACAGAATTAACGCTCGCTCTGCTGTTGCACTTTCAACAAGATAGAACATTAAACCATCAAGTCTAATATTGTCTACTTTAACTGGCAGTAACTCTCCTGGTTCTCAGGAACAAATCTTTCTCAGCCCAACCACCAAAGATACAATTTTCCTTAGTTCCTACCCTGTAATTTAATTAGAATAAGAGTTAATCCAGTCATGTACAGCAGGCAAAGCCAATCAGATTCAAATGGAAAAAGAGCCCCAAAAACAGTTTTAGCTCTGGACTGGTGAAATGATCTATGTACTACTTGCTCTGAAAGTTTCTCTCCCACAGATGCATACACGACATTTTCTATATCTCAGCATGTTTTTAAAAAGTTCCTGTTGTGAGATTAGAATGCCTTTTCTAAGCAAGGTTCCTCCTCTTGACACCCCCATTCTCAATTTTAAATATATATAAGCTTGCAAGCTGTACCTTGAGAGCTGAATGAGGAACGGGGTGGAGGGGAAATTTAAAAAAAAAGAAAAACACAAAAGGAAGTGGCTGGTTTAATATTCATATGTGGGTCTTCTACTTTCAAGCATAACTTGCACTTGGCTACTTAAGAAGTCATTCAGGAGTGAATCAATAGTAATTACTGTAATCAGGAGGGCTAATTAGCTGACGATGCCGCTGATGGAAAGTTCATTGCTTTACAGCCCTTAAAAACACCTAACTTGATGAAGCCTGGAGGCAAGGAGGGTGCTGTAAATGGAGAGGCTTGGATTCTGATCTGCTGCTCTCTTAATTGAAACAATCCTGGGCTTGGGCTACGGACTCCAGTTTCGTTCACGCGACACATTTCTGACAGCAGAGATCTTACCAGTGATACACCAGCAGTTTTGGTTTGTATTCCTGGGCACGGACATTCTTGGCGGTAGTTATAACTATGGTGTTTTGTGGAGGGAGTGTCACTCTGCCTGTACTGAGGAAATAACAGTAGCAAACACTTTGGGTGGTGGTGCTGCCAATTTGAGGCTGGCTTCAGATACTGTTCATCCACCTCAAGATATTACACCCGTCCTTTAACGGCCCTTGACATGGCTTAACTATTCCATTTGTGGAAGGACCTCCAAATCCATTTGTAGGCAAAATCTGAACTCATCCAGTTTTGATGGAAAGGTGGTTGTTGTTGTTTTAAATTCCTAGAAATTCCTCCTATCCTTCATCTGAGAAAAGACCTCGAAGTTGCTGTCCACCTACATAGTTGCCATCCTTAAAGGACCTTCAAAGCCCTTCACGGCCTAGGACCCTTGTACCTACGGGACCGCCTCTCCCGGTATGCCCCACGGAGGACCTTAAGGTCCATAAATAGCAACACCCTAGAGGTCCCAGGCCCTAAGGAAGTTAGATTAGCCTCAACCAGAGCCAGGGCCTTTTCAACACGGGCTCCAGCTCTGTCTCATGAGACCAGGGCCCTGCAGGATCTGATTTCTTTCCGCAGGGCCTGTAAGACAGAGTTGTTCCGCCTGGCCTTTGGCTTGGAATCAATTTGATTCTCTCCCCCTCTTTCTTTTTTCCTCTCTCCTCCAGTGATGAGGCTGCATTTTAATGTTTTAATGTTGTATTTTAATCTTGTTTTTTAATTTGTATTTCAATCAACTTGTTTTTATTATTGGTTGTTAGCCGCCCTGAGCCCGGTGTTGGCTGGGGAGGGTGGGGTATAAATAAAATTTATTCATTTATTATTATTATTATAGAAGAATATAGCTAGATAGATAGCTAGAGAGACAGGCTTGTAGAGTTGGAAGGGACCACAAGGGTCATCTAGGCCAACCCCCTGCAATGCAGGAATCTCTTGCCAAACATGGGGATCAAACCCACAACCCTCAGATTAAGACCTGCAAAGTTTGCAGAAGTACGAAAAACAACAGCCCCTGTTTGGGGTGGTGGTGGGCAAACATAAGGAAAGAGAAATTTAATGAGGACTCATGACGCTGAGCGGGGAGGAGAATGGAAGAGAATATATCAGAAAAGGGCATGGCTGGTCAGTGCTCTGAACATATGAAATAACTTGAGATGTATGTGTTCCCGAGGGGAAGTCCCATGTCCAGTGGGTGGTGCCTGCCTCTCTTTCTAAATGGTGCCTCTGAATTTATTATGAATGAACTCTTCATGGTTTCCCAAAAGCTCAGGAGGACCACAGCAGCAGAAAAGCTTTTAATGCCACGTGGCTGGTGAGAGGGGTTGTTTCTGACAGTCACACCAGTGAAGATTACAGAGCAGAAAGGCACTTCCTGGTTTTAATCGAGCTTTTACGTGATTGAACCATCGTTTCCAGAAGCAAAGAATAATAATAATGGCATTCCTCATTCTCTTGATATCATTAAAGACGGCTGAGCGCCGCTTCTTATTTATCTCCGCCATGGCTTCCTTATGACTGTTTTACTGCTTCCCACACATCGACGCGTTATGTCAGCTGTACGAAAGGTAACTAGAAATGGCAGCTGGCGAGAGAAAGTGTCGCCATTCCTGGAATGGCTTGGATTATCAGGGCAGCAGGAGTTGCTGGCACCGCAGCCCAAATCTACTTGACCTGCCGAATGTTTGGCTGCTGGAGAGAGTGATGATTCATTCAAAGTTCACGAAACGCGATTGCTGGCTTCTACACAGAGGAAATAAAAACTAGGATTTCCCCCTCCTAAAAACTGCCCAAGTGGTAAAACTTAAAGGGTTGTGTTTGCTGTTTCCTCTTCTTTCCCCCCTTTCTCCTGATTACGTCATCTCTCTCTTCATGATTCGTTATTCACTTAAGGAATTTTCTGCCGCTAGATGAACAACACTATTAGGGTGAAGTTAGATGTAATACTTAGAGCAGGTTATCCACCAACGATGAGATTCTAGCTTCCTTCACAATTTTCAAAACAGGTTACGGGGTTAGGCATTCCTCTTGACTGGGAATGGAGGAGAAATTAATTCAGTTTGCATTTAGAGATGAACCTATTTAAGTCACGCTTTTATCACACAGCGCATGAACTTCAAACACAACCCTCCTTCTAAATTCACGTTTCTTTGGATGTTGCAACGCAGTTGCCCGGCATGCACCGGAGTAAAGTGTGCCTAAAAATGCACACATGAGTGAAAATAAGATACAAAAATGGCATTATATTAGACAAAATTGCTTTGCGAAAATGTGTACGTTAGGAGAAATTTGCACTTAAATGCTTATGAATTTTCATGAGGACTTAAAAAAATACAGACTGATGTGGAAATGTGGAGAAAGGAACTGATGATTGGGGAAAATGAGAAACCTAGAGAAAAATGATATTGGCAGATTTGCCCATCCCTAATCCTAGCCCTTGGGGGTAGAGGAGAATTATTATTTTTTTTAAAAAAAAATTCCAGTCAAGCAAGTTGATATACAGTGGTACTTCGGGTTACAAACACTTCGGGTTATAAACACTTTGGGTGACAGAATCTGCTAATCCAGAAGTAGTACCCTGGGTTAAGAACTTTACTTCAGGATGAGAACAGACATTGCGCGCCAGCGGGAGTCCCCATTAGCTAAAGTGGTACGTCAGGTTAAGAACAGTTTCAGGTTAAGAACGGACCTCCAGAATGAATTAAGTAAGTAACCAGAGGTACCACTGTAATTTGCACCTTCTGGACTAATCAGAACATAATAATTATTCAGATTTCAAAGTTCTCTGAATTTTGCGTTAAAGTTCTCATCTAAAAAATAAATAACGAAAGGTTTTAAAAGTGCATATTTTAAGACCAAATTCTCTTTTTCTATATTTAGAAATGCACGCTTTGAAATAAAATATGTATTTAAATATGAATCTTCACAAGGTTTTTCCTTTAAATACAGAGTAATGTGGAAAGAGGATGGAATGGACTTGTGAATGGACACATGCAACTTCAATATGGACCAGAAATAGACCAACCCATCCTAAATTTTGGGGGCCACATTTTTTAAAAGTAGTACCACATGTCTATTCATGAGAAGATAATAGGTCCTGGAGCATCATTAGCCAACATAGTGCCCTTCGGAAGTTATTGGACTCCCAGTTATTGGACTCCCAGTTCTCATAATCCCCAGCCAGCTTTGCCAATGGCCATGGATGATGGGAGTTGTAGTCTGGCAATATCTAGAAAGCACCACTTTTTTGGGGGAGGGGAATGAATCCTAGGGCTTGAGCTGATGGCCAGTTATACAACAAGCAACCTTACTGTAGCTAAGTTCTGGCTTAGATCTTTCAGTGCTAGGGTGGGTTTCTGCTTGTTTTCATACTTATTCATTTATTTATTTGATAAGATTCTATTAAAGCTTTTTCATAATACCATGAGATAAAAGAAACTAATCCAAATAAAAACAAAAGCAGGCAATGAGATAAAAAAAATAAAACACAGATTCCTCTCTCAAAGGTAACTCTTAACCCTTATCTCACCCAGAAAGTGGTGGACCTGGGAGCTTTTATTTTCTTCTCCCAGTTCCTCATCCTGGGAAGTCTTCCATTCCCTGTCATTTTAATTCTTATTTTTATTCTTATTAAAGCCTTCTAGATTCCTTTATGTTGTGGGATGCCACATAAGTGTCATTAAAAATAATAATGGAAGAATGGCAGGTATATAGATGCAATAAATAAATAAAGCCTGCCATGTTTGGCTAACAAACTGCATATGACATGATTCTCTCTTGTTAGGGGGTGGGATAGAGATCCTAGGGAAACAAAGAGGTCAGTGGCTTTTGGAAGGTTCCCATTTGCTAGGCTCATTCTTTGGATTTATCCCAGGAGCCGGCCACTCTAGTCTGAAGGCCCTCTGACAACAGATTTTGGATAATTTCTTCCTTAGTCTTCAGAGAACTGCTGTGCCAGCAGTCAAGGGTACAGCATACAGGGACAGAGGAACAAACTGCCTTACTCACTATAAGGCAGCTTCATACGTACAAAGCCATTTTGAAAGACTCTGAACAGCATATTGACAGACAAAGTGGGAAAGGAGAGGTGTGTTGAACAATAAGGGAAACCTGAATACTGCTGCAAACTCTGTTGTCGGCGAAGAAATAGGAGGGTGGTCAGTTTTGCTTTTTTCACGTTGCGCTATTCTACTCAATTGTGTTGACTCTGACATATTTTGCTGTTTGTGCAAATGTATTTGACTTTGTTCTGCTCAAAAACAATAACCCAGAAAGCACCACAAATAACCCAAAGCAGCAAGGCGCAGATCAGAAATCCAAAGAAACTTAGAATCCAAAGAAACTTGGTTTACAAACTGACACAGGAGGATTCCACATGAAACCGTGCTGATCAGTTGCAAGATGACTTGGAACTAGCACTAAAGACTTTATGGAAAAGGCGGGCATTGAGGGGATTTTGAGTTGAAATATAAGAGGTGGCTTTGGGCAGATGCTTGGGAGGAAAATGCGTGAGGTGGACTGTTTAAGGCCTTTGCAATGGCTGCTTTGATGAGCAGGGGCGATCCTGGACAAAAGGCCCTTCTGAATTTTGCTCTCTGGAGGAGGTCCTCTCAGCTGGAGATGCCAGAGACTGAACGTGACACTTTATGCATGCAAGGCATGTGGTCTACCACTGAGCTGTGAGCACTTTCTGAAAGTGCCAACCCCTTCCGCCTAATTGCCTAGTCTTATCTGGGTATGCGATGGCAACCCTTCTTGTGAGGCTCATAAATTGCCATCTCAGAGGGGGGGTGGCAGGGAGAGCTTCCCTCGCGCAATGAATGAGCAATGTGCGTGCTGACCCGAAACGCAGCATCAAGGTGATGGGCAATTGTCGATGACACTTTGAGGAGGAAAGCAGACCAGGTTTATCACTAGCAAGCATTTTTGTAAGAACAGACTAAACAAGGCAATGGCAATAGAAAGGAAGGGAAGCAAATTGAAGAGGAATAGGAGCAGTTAAGCTCCTGGCCATGAGAGAGAATAACGTGGGTTCAAGCCCAACGTTGGGCAAAAATATTCCTGCCTTGCAGGGGGTGGGAGTAGATGGCCCTCGTGGTCCCTGCCAACTCTACAGTTTCGTGATTCTGCGTACGTTCATTCATAAGTCTGCCCTATCCCATTTCTGCATTACAGTGGTACCTCAGAAGTCAAACGGAATCCTTTCCAGAAGTCCGTTCAGCTCCTGCAGCCAATCAGAAGTCATGTCAGACGTTCGGGTTCCAAAGAACATTTGCAAACTGGAACACTCACTTCCGGGCTTGCTTGGGAGCCAAAACATTTGACTCACAATGTGCTCAGGATCCAAGGCATGACTGTATATGATTTTTTAAAATGCATAAAACCCTTATTTAACAATTATTTTTGAATGTATTTTACACACAAAATACACATTTCTAAATTTATTTTGTACACATGGCATTGTTTCTTGGTATTCTAAGAAGCCTCCATGCTGTGGTCAAACTTAGTAAGATCTGGGACTGGAACTGTTGTAAACCAAATAAAAAAATTCCTTCTAGTAGCACCTTAAAAAGGTAAAGGGACCCCTGACCATTAGGTCCAGTCGTGGCCGACTCTGGGGTTGCGACGCTCATCTCGCTTTATTGGCCGAGGGAGCCGGTATACAGCTTCCGGATCATGTGGCCAGCATGACTAAACCGCTTCTGGTGAATCAGAGCAGTGCACGGAAACACCGTTTACCTTACCTTACCTTACCTTACCTATTTATCTACTTGCACTTTGACGTGCTTTCGAACTAGCACCTTAGAGACCAACTAAGTTTGTTATTGGTATGAGCTTTTGTGTGCATGCACACGTCTTCAGATACACGAAGAATGCATGCAGACGAAAACTCATACCAATAACAAAGTTAGTTGGTCTCTAAGGTGCTACTGGAAGGAATTTATTTATTTTGTTTCGACTACGGCAGACCTACACGGCTACCTACCTGTAACTAGTGTTATAAACCAGAGTTGGATCTGATTGAAGCTATCCAGTGCAATCAGGTATTAGTAAACCATATAGTCAGTGACCAGTTCCTCAGTAGTGCCAAGAACAGCAAATGGCAACCAGATTTCTTAGAGCCTGCGGCAGACAATTTCACACATGCCAATCTCTATTTCTCTCTCATTCTGGGACAGTTCTTAAAGGTTCCAAAAGTAACAGGAGGAGGGTGGATTGATGTCTAGAATTTCCCCCTACACTCTGGGACATTCCTGTTGCTTCTAGAATGCCATGGTGACTGCATATCTTCCAGACTGTTGGGGGTTTTTTTTGCAGCATGATGGTAGATGATTAGGAAATATGTCAAATAAATAAATGCACTGGTTTCAGTCATTGTAACCATTTTGCACATTGTCTGGAAAACAAGCTATATACATTTTTTCAGATATATTTTGGAGATTCTTGCTCAGGAGAAACATCTAATCCAAAGGAGCCTTGCATAGACTGGCCAAAATTCTCAGTAGGGTTGCAGACATCTCTACTAATTTTGATAACGCCAGTAGGCTGTTACATCGCCTGTTTGACATTGTGCTGGTGATGATGATTTTTAACCACAACCACTCGATGCTTTCACAGAAAATTACCTTTTAATGGTTGGGTTTTTTATCTAATGGTACATTTTTATGCTCTTCCCATAAAAAAAATAAAATTAAAATTGTACAATACATTCGGTTACATTATTGCAGTATAATATGCTAAACAACTTGTAGCCATTATAGTTAATGAAAATGTTTATGATGATTAATTTGGAGCTGATGGAATTAAAGAGAAGCAGGAAGAAGGGAGAAAACAGCCAAGGGGAATTGGGGGAGGCCAATTTTGATTGGCTAATAATGTTTGATGATTCATACACACATCCCAATAATTAGTGGGTGCACTAGGGAACCTAAGCCCCACCTGTTTTTCACTGTGCCTCATGTGTCTATTTATTTTGGTGAAGGAGACACAATCTCTTGCTTAACTTTCTGACCGAAATTGGTGGAAATTTGGCTGAATCATGCCAACTATATTTGAGGGATGAATATATGATATTGGTATTTCAGAGTCCAATGCAATAAGGTGAAGATACCTTTTTAAAGTTGTCCACAGCTACATCAATGACTTGCGTAATCCCATGGTTTACAAACTGCCTTAAAGGAACCCTTGGTTCGGTTTATAAGATCTCCCAGGAGATGAGTTATGGGGGGCAGCCTACAATGGGTAACTGCAGATTGGTATTTTAGGGGCTCCCTCTCTGTTCTGTCCAGGAGATTGTGAGACCCAGCAGACCTGGCCCGTGAACCATGTTTATGCTGCTATTACTTTATCAACAATTTATATTTGTATGGTCACCCAATAACATATGTTCCCTGGGAGGCTCACAAACAAAGAGATAAAATAAAATATTAAAAATACAAAATAAAAGAATTGAGGCAGTGGAATAAGAAACCAGGAAGCTGCATTATGCCATGTTAGATCACTGATGCATCCAACTCAGTACAGTGGTACCTCAGTTTACAGACGCTTCAGGTTGCAGATGCTTCAGGTTATAGACTCCACTAACCCAGAAATAGTACCTCGGGTTAAGAACTTTGCTTCAGGATGAGAACATAAATCATGCAGCGGCGGCGCAGCGGCGGCAGCAGGAGGCCCCCATTAGCTAAAGTGGTGCTTCAGGTTAAGAACAATTTCAGGTTAAGAACGGACCTCCAGAACAAATTAAGTTCTTAACCCAAGGTACCACTGTACTGCCAACTGCCTAGGAGCAACTGTTCAAGGTTTCAGACCGAAAACATTCCCAGCCCAACCTGGAGATGCCCAGGATTGAACCTGTGACCTTTGGCATGCAAAGTAGGTACCCTCCCACTGAGCTATAGCCTTTTCTCCATTTGTTCTTTGTAGCAGAATAAAGCATAGAACCATAGAATTGTGGAGTTGGAAGTGACCACAAGGATCAGCTAGTTCAACCCCATGTAAGGCAGGAATATTTTGCCCAATGTGGGGATCGAACTCACGACCCTGGGATTAAGAATCTAATGCTTTACCTACTGAGCTCTCCATCATGAATCATAAAATTGAGAAGCTTGGTTATATTTAAAAATGCAAGTTGTTGAAAGGGCCTGGGTGAAAGGTCTTCACTGAAAAGACCACAAGGATGGTGCTAGGTGAGCTTCTCTGGGGAGGCTCTTCAATAACCTAGGTGCCACCACCAGGGAGGCGCTGTCTCTCTCCCTCCATAGTAACCACCAACTTTATTCATTCACGCATGCATTCATTTATCACATCAATTTACTACAGTGGTACCTTGGTTTACGAACTTAATCCGGAAGTCTGTTTTTAAACCAAAGCGTTCTTAAACCAAGGTGTGCTTTCGCATAGCAGCTGGGGACTCAATTTACAAATGGAACATACTCAACAGGAAGCGAAACATGTTCTGCTTCCAAGGCAAAGTTCACAAACCAAAACACCTACTTCTGGATTTGCAGCATTCTTAACCCAAGTTGTTCATAAACTAAGCTTTTCTTAAACCACTGTAATTGTTATAGTTTCAGACAGAGCAAATTGGGTCAGTTTGCCTTAGAATGTGGACTTCCTTCCCTCAGCTTAACCATGTCCCAGACTCCATCTGCAATGCTTCCGGGACTGCTTGGCCTTCCCTGTGGGTACAACTTTTGGAAACGACTGGGCTAAGTACATTATCTATGTGCTTCGGTGCCATTTTCTGCAAGGTCAGGTCTCCCTTTGCATTGCTCACATTTGAACTGGGGCACCACACTGGTACGGGGAGGTGACAGTAGCTTCTCACACCAGTGTTGCCGTCTCCCAGGGAGTAGCATGAGAAATCGCCATGTGGCATTGGACCCAACCATGCCAATGCGATGCCAAAATATCCCATCTTTTGCACATTGGTTGCATCGAAAGACAATAGGTATGAACACCCTAACTTAACACCTTGAAACAATTCTGAGATGGTTCTGAAAGAAAACGACGCCACTCCACAAACACAGCGGATCGCATGCATTAGTTTCATCTTCTGCTAGGCTATTTCTCTGCCAGTCGTTTTCCGCCGCTGAACATGTGCCTCGTTAAGAGGGAAAGAGTAAATAAAGAGAAAAATTAACAAGTGCTAAGTGCTTGTAAAATGTAACCAAATCCATCTGTGACAGCCCCCAGTGTGGGCATGCTTAACATGAGTTTCACGTCCTCATTTCACACAGTAGCATTGGCCTAGAGCAGCCTGGTCTACACTGAGTCCAAACAGAGGCTCCTCAAGTTCAGCATTGTCTTCACTGACTAGCACCCAGTTTTCCAGGCTTCAGGCAGCGAGCATTCCCAGCCATGGATTGATCCTGAGATCATGTGCCTATGAAACCGATGCTCTGTCGTTGAAGCCCCTGGCTGGCCACTGTGTGGGCAGCAGGAAACTAGACTAGATGGGACTTTGGCAACTGGTGTCCAGGGTTTCATCATCAGCTCTACTTGTGTGGGGTGTTGTTGTTTTGTAAAGTTTATTATTATTATTTCATTTCATAATTACCCGGACATTGGGCCAGAGACCTTTTGGAGAGCCACGGCCAATCACTGTAGACAATACTGAACTAGCTGAATCCATGGTTATATTGTATAAGAAAGCTTCCTAGGTTCACCTGAAGGAATTGAATCGATTTATTTTGGCTTTGGAAGGCACCCAGAGTGACTGCCAGCAAGATGGGCAGGGAATCTTCTTCTTCTTCTTCTTCTTCTTCTTCTTCTTCTTCTTCTTCTTCTTCTTCTTCTTCTCCTCCTCCTCCTCCTCCTCCTCCTCCTCCTCCTCCTCCTCCTCCTCCGCCTCCTCCTCACTCTGGCCATTTAGATAGACTGCAGCATGCATGTATTCCCCTGGTACTTCGCCATCAAGTGCTGTTGTTGTCGTTTAGTCATGTCCGACTCTTTGTGACCCCATGGACCAGAGCACGCCAAGCACTCCTGTCTTCCACTGCCTCCCGCAGTTTGGCCAAACTCATGCTGGTAGCTTTGAGAACACTGTCCAACCATCTCGTCCTCTGTTGTCCCCTTCTTTTGCCCTCAATCTTTCCCAACACCAGGGTCTTTTTCAGGGAATCTTCTCTTCTCATGAGGTGGCCAAAGTATTGGAGCCTCAGCTTCAGGATCTGTCCTTCCAGTGAGCACTCAGGGCTGATTTCCTTCAGAATGGAGAGGCTTGATCTTCTTGCACGCCATGGGACTCTCAAGTGCTACTCACCAATAAAATTTCTGAACAGGAAATCTGATTGTCATGTTAGTCATTCTCCATGAAATTCCCAAGAACATATCTGGGCACCTATTAGCACAACATTTTAAAATGCATGAATCAATCTTTGCATTTGCTACGTTCTTTTTCTCCAACTGCCTCCTTATCTGAATGATGACAGGGGTTTTTTTTCCCCTTGTTCCAAATGTCAAAAGATTTGTATCCTTCCTTCAGAACCTCCAAAATGTGTTTCTTCCTCCAGCAGAGAGTGAAGCACCAGCTCTTTATCCCTCTCGAGCCAAAGAACTTGTCTTCAGCTTTCCAGCCCACATTTACTTTTTAATGAGGGTGTTACATAACCCGTTTTAAGAATTACGAAAGGCTCACAGCTAGTGAACTGCGGCAGAACCTTTGGGTGCTATTCACATCTATAGGGCGCAAGGAGCGGGGAGGAAAGAAAACTGCTTTGGATGTGTGGAGGCTGGCTTAATGAACCCCCGCCCCCCAACCTCTTAGGAGCTCGCTTATTCACACATGCATGAATATCACTTTGCAGGGCCGGTCCTACTGTTAGACAGAGTGAGTGGCAGTCTCTGGCAGCAGATTTCAGGTGTTATGAAAATGCAGCAAATTGTTAGCTACTTAAAGGTAAAGGGACCCCTGACCGTTAGGTTCAGTCGTGGCCAACTCTGGGGTTGCGGCGCTCATCTCGCTTTATCGGCCTAGGGAGCCAGTGTACAGCTTCCGGGTCATGTGGCCAGCATGACTAAGCCGCTTCTGGCGAACCAGAGCAGCGCACGGAAATGCCGTTTACCTTCCCACCGGAGCGGTACCTATTTATCTACTTGCACTTTGATGTGCTTTTGAACTGCTAGGTTGGCAGGAGCAGGGACCGAGCAACAGGAACTCACCCCGTCGCGGGGATTCGAACCACCGACCTTCTGATCGGCAAGTCCTAGGCTCTGTGGTTTAACCCACAGCGCCACCCACATTAACTACTTAGTTTGTTCTTAATCAGGGAGGGTTACTGTCAGAGAAGGAGAGGGGCACCTCCGGGGTTATTTATTTATTTAAGGCTCAGGTACGGCCCAGAATAACTTAGCTGACCTTGGACTCTTAAGAATATATGAGGAGCTTTGCAGGATCAGGCCAAAAGCCCCTGGGCTCTGGCATCCTATTCTCACAGTGGCCAGGCAAATCCCTATGGGAAGCCTTCAAGCAAAGCTTTGACTGCATCGGCACTCTGCCCACCTGCAGTTGCCAGCAGCTGGTGTTCAGAGGCATGCTGCCTCCAGCAGTGGAAACACAGCATTGACATCGTGGTTATAAGTCACTGATAGCCTTACCCTCCATGAATCCTCTATGCAAACCATCAGAATTGGTGACATCCTCACCACCTCAAATTCTATAGCTGTGTGAAGAAGACTGCCGGGTCCATATAACACCGGTCCTAAAAGACCTATATTGGTTCCCAGTACGTTTCAGAGCACAATTCAAGGTGTTGGTGCTGACCTTTAAAGCCCTAAATGGCCTTGGCCCAGTATACCTGAAGGAGCGTCTCCACCCCCATCATTCTGCCTGGACACTGAGGCCCAGCTCCAAGGGCCTTCTGGCAGTTCCCTCACTGAGAGAAGTGAGGATACAGGGAGCCAGGCAGAGGGCCTTCTCGGCAGTCCTGTGGAACTCTGTCCCTTCAGTTGTCCAGGAGATAACTAACTATACAACCTTTAGGACACATCTGAAGGTAGCCCTCTATATGGAAGTTTTAATGGCTGAAGTTTTTATTATTATTATTATTAATAATAATAATTTTTAATCATACCCCGCCCTCCCCAGCCAGAGCTCAGGGTGGCTAACACCAGTAAAATTACAATAAAAACATAATGGGGGGAGACCAATTTAAAATACAGGTTAAAATGCAATTTAAAATGCAGCCTCATTTTAAAAGTAGCCCATAGATCAAAACCGTAAGGGGAGGGAAAACATAAGGGTCAGACTGAGTCCAAGCCAAAGGCCAGGCGGAACAGCTCAGTCTTACAGGCACTGCGGAAAGATGTCAAGTCCCGCAGGGTCCTAGTCTCTTGTGACAGAGCATTCCACCAAGTCAGGGCCAGTACTGAAAAGGCCCTGGCCCTAGTTGAGACCAACCTAACCACCTTGCAACTTGGGACCTCCAAAGTGTTGTCTTTGTGGACCTTAGGGTCTTCCATGGGGCATACCAGGAGAGGAGTCTCATCAAACAGTGGTTGCGATTTTTAGAAAAGGTATTAACAAGTAATAATAACATATTGTGTTTTTGTACCTGCTGGAAGCCGCCCAGAGTGGCTGGGGCAACCAAGGCAGATGGGCAAGGTACAAATATAGTCATAATAATGATAATAAATGTCACTTGTCTTTCCTGGATCTTCCAGCATTCAGCTTCACTGAATGTCTATGACGTCCAGTGTTGGGAGGGAGGGAGAAAAATGTCTTTCTCCCCACTCTCTCCACACTTTGCCCCTTGATGTGTGGCAGAGAGTTAGATGTCGTTTGCCACCCTGCCTTGGGCAGCTATATGCCTCACAGTGACTGGCCCTCAATATCTCCACACTAGAAAGCTGTGCTTGGGGCTGGTGCATACAGGCATGCCATACACTCCAACTGTCCTGGTTTCACCCATAGGTGAAAATACTGTTCTGGTGTTTCCTTTTTAAAAAATAAAAATAAAACCACCCATAACCAGCTCAGTGATATAGCTTTGATATACATGCAAATGCACCAGCTGGCCAAGAGGCTAAAATACTAGCCAGGTCAGTTTGTTTGTTGCATTCAGTTGCCTTCCCTAGACTGCCTCAGAGTGCCTTTGGGGGTGCTGAGTTCATTATGGCTTCTTAACTAGTTCATTATTGTGCGGTTTATTTCCAGTTTCTGTCTTTAGCTGCCATTTTAGTGTTTTGTTGATGATGTTGTTCGCGTTGGTGCACTGGCTCCTTTCCACTTGGTTTTTAATTTGTGTTCCATAAAACAGGAGCGGAGGCTGCCTCAGGGATCCCTTCTGACTGAAAGTTGCCGTATAACTCGAAATAAATAAATGTTTATATATGTTTGTGATAATAAGTCACATCTGCGCCATGCATTTAAAGCACAATGGTGTCGTTTCGTGTTGTAGTGAAGTGTAGTTTGTTAAGGGTGCTGGAGATTATAGCTCTGTGAGGGGTAAAACTACATTTCCCAGCATTCTTTGAGGGAAGGCTCTTTAAATGTACTCAAAATGTGCTTAAACGTCTGGTGAGAATGTACTGATACTAGTCCGTTAGCTACTGGGAAATGTATGTAGTTTCTGATCATTTTAGAACTTGGAAATCCTGTCTTTATGATTGTTTCGCTCAACAGTAATCTTTGTTTGATTGATATATTTTCTCTTACCACCACAACAAAGGTGGCATGCAGAGTAAACAAACAAACAAACCATAGAGTTGGAACACTCAAAGTCCACCTGGTTCAAATCCCTGCTCAGTGCAGGGAAAACACAGCTAGAATACCCCTGCCTGAAAACCTCCGGAAATAGAGAGCCCACCATTCATCTACATCAGTTGTTCCATTGTCAGCTGGGTGGTCATGTTTCCTGCTGTACAGAGAGCATTCCTTCACTATCTGATCCAAGTGTGATCAAAACATTAAACACACACACACCATAAGAGAGAGCAGGACAAACCATCAACAGGTGGCACTGGGACAACAGATTAAGGTGGCGCTAACCGTGATGGGGCAGTGCTGCTCACCTGACCTCCAGTAGGTCATGTTGCCGATGCTCACTGGGAGGTAGAGAGTAAGTGGCAAGGCAGTGGGGAGGTTGGCATGGTGCAAAAGCACTGGCAGGTGTACCAGGTTGCCTCACCTGTGCATTCAGAGTGTGCCAGCCTTGCCATTGCCTCACCTCTCCCTCTCTACTTCTCAAAATAAAAAACCATATGGTTTACTAATACTTAACTGCACTGGATAGCTTTTATCAGATCCAACTCTGGTTTATATCACTAGTTACAGGTGGGTAGCCGTGTTGGTCTGCCATAGTCGAAACAAAATAAAAAAAGTTCCTTCCAGTAGCACCTTAGAGACCAACTAAGTTTGCTATTGGTATGAGCTTTTGTGTGCATGCATTTTTTGTGTATCTGAAGAAGTGTGCATGCACACAAAAGCTCATACCAATGACAAACTTAGTTGGTCTCTAAGCTGCTACAGGAAGGAACTTTTTAATTTTGTTTCGACTACAGCAGACCAACACGGCTACCTACCTGTAACTCTCTACTTCTCAGTAAGCTGAAGCAAGGCAACCAGTCAGAGGTCAGATGAGCCACAGTGCCCCACCACAATGTTCACTAGTAACTGTCGTCCAGGTAACCTGATCTTCTCCACTACTTGCTATTTCAGTTGCAGTAATTATTTCTAAATTTGCAGCTATATGCAGAGAATCAACCTATGTATATCTTGCGCCTACTTTCATTCCCTTTTGTAGTGATGCGTTTCCTTTTTCTTCCCTTTTAACAGTGAGCAAGTGGTCACCCTAATCATCAAACTGTTCTTACCGTTAAGATGCTTCTCCTAATGTTCAACTGAAATCTACCCTCCTATAATTAGTCACTGACCTGCTCTCTTACGTAAGCAGCAAGGGAGCACTAATGGCTGGTGATTGCAGATATCACATTGCAGGATGAAGAAACGAATGAGACCTTGATGGTATGTCTGGTGCTATTAAGTCCTGCAGTTGTGTTGCCTCACTCGATGTGAGACCAGAGCTGGAATCAGGGTTTGCTGTAGGACCTGGTCTTCTTCAGCTTGTTAGGAGGTGCTGATGTTGAGGACCCTTTTTAGATTAGCAAGCTGTCTGCAAGCAATAATGCACCAAACACCCAAAGCCTGTACCCAATAAGTGTCATTCTCTGAGATGGACGGCAGATCATTGGTGAAACTCACATTGGTCCATCTGGACAGAATTTTTCATTTCCTTGGTTTTAAGAATATCTGACTGGATAGCTCAGCTGGTTAGAGTGTGGTGCTGATAATGCCAAGGTTGCAGGTTCGATCCCTGTACAAGGATGCATATTCCTGCATTGCTGGAAGTTGGACTAGATGAGTCTTCCAATTCTACAATTCTATGGTTTTCTATGAATACTTGATGTAAATAGTTCAAGTTGCATCCCTGTCCAAGGTACTGGAACAAAACTGAATCCCTCAGTCCATGGAAAGAGACCAAACAAGGTTGGATAAAAGACTGTAGACTAAGGTGTTGTTGTTTTTTGCAGTGTACTCTGCGAATGCATTTAGGCATGTGCACCTGCCATTGCATCTCTAGTATCAGGTGATGCTTATATACTGCATTTCGATTGTTGTGTCCTAACAGTGAACTTACTGCATAGACTGGTTGAAGCTCAGGTTAATGGTGGGATGGAAGTTGTTGGAAGCCCTTATGGAGCTTCTCAGAGGTGTTCTTCTCATGGGTCCAGATGATAAATCATTGTATTTCAGGTAGAGGAGAAGCCTTTGGGAGCAGGAGCTGAGGAGGCATCTGCCATGGGTACTGTGGAGCTCTGCAGCTACCTGTGTAGTTTGATTGTCAACAAACAGTGAATTATATATCATATTGGCTTCAGTTTCAGGTGGGCAAATCTTTAAATTTTCGTTTGTCTCAATTTCTCATTTTTTCCAATCTTAAATTCAGTTCCCCAAATCAGTTGACTTTTTTTTAAAAAAAAAGTCCTCATGAAAATTCATCAGATTTTTAGTGCCCGTTACTTCTAATATACTTGTTTACATGTTATTTCCACCAATAAATGCATTTTTTATGCACACTTCACCTTACTATGTGCAATTTCTGTACACATTACTTAGCTGGAGAACTGCATTGCAAAATTCAGAGAAGTGGAACTTTCAAAAACAAGCCGTGTTTCAGTTCAAGTATTGTTTGCTGTTTGCTACGATTGAGCACTGAAGAGTGGTTTCCCCCAGGGGAAAGCAGTGGGACAAGAGCAAGGTTGGATAAGCCCAATGTCTGGTTGAATAGCCAAGTACCTCCAGAAATTATCTTTATAGTGTGAAGTCAGCTGTTAAAGAAGCTTGCATTTTGCCTCAGAATCTTGCCTAATTGTTTTGGGAAAGGCTGAGCTATTACTCAGCAAGCTGCAGAACACTGCGATGAAATGATCTTTTCATCTGCGCAAAAGCAAAAAGAAAGAAGAGTTAAAGCTATAGCAACCAAGTTGCCGTAACTTTTCCTCCCCCTGCGAAGCAGAATGCCACAGCAAATTTTAATTCAAGTCACCTTTTCACTGTGTTAATTTTGAGCAACATTTACTTCTGCCAATCATTAATTAAGATAACAGCCAGCTCTAGAACTGGGGGGAAATAAAATAAAACCCTCTTGTATATATGCAATTTCAATCAGCATCTGAAACAGGTTCTCTAGGCCAGGGGGTTCTTAAACTGTATTACCGCGCCTGTCTATAAGCAGGATAGGGAGAGTTAGGCAAGGCAGGTGAATATACAATTGCCCTGTGGACAGCTCAGGGTTTATTGGCTTTAGTGATTGTTGAACTACACTTGACTCGATTCAGAATTGGCTTAGTATATTGGAGCTTTCTTAGTGTGCATTCAGGAAAAAGGGGTATCTGCTCTCTGAGAATCGTAGAATTATACAGTAGGAAGGGACTCAAAAGGTCAACTAGCCCCAAACCTTGTAATTCAGAGAGTTCCTTCCCAGTTGCACATGTCCTGATGGTGTTTTGCACATTGTCTTATTGCTCATTGGAAACTGTAGTTCGGCCTAACTTGCCCTGCACCTACCCACAGGACTAGCTGCAGCAGAGAGCTGTCTGGTAATATACCCCCCCCCCCAAAAAAACCCCCCACAACCTATGCTTATCTGCAAACAGGAGAGGCTTTTAGATACAGATGGGGCACAGCAAGCACATGTTTGCTAAACCCAATCAAAATAATTGATTGATCCAAAAAGAGCAGATAAATAGACTGCTTGGTCAAGATGCTTTTTTTCCAGTTCATTGTAGACAATGAACTGTCAGAGGTTTAAATGAAGGAATGTCTGAGTATGCACTTCAGACCACAGGTTTTAGAAACAGGTCACTGTCGGAAGCGCTGGGGGCACCACACAGCCCCTAGCTCGAGACAAACCTCTCTGGGCGTCTTCCTCTGGAACGCAGCATGGGACGGTCAAAACTCTTCAGTCCCATTGCACAGCAGCGACACATATCTGAAAATATGTGCACACTCAAAACAGCAGATTAAAGCTGGAAGCTGAGGCTATGAGGTGTGGCATTTAAGTAATTTATTAAGCAATATATACAGGAAGAAGAAGAAGAAGAAGAAGAAGAAGAAGAAGAAGAAGAAGAAGAAGAAGAGGAGGAGGAGGAGGAGGAGGAGGAGTTTGGATTTGATATCCCACTTTATCATTACCCTAAGGAGTCTCAAAGCAGCTAACAATCTCCTTTCCCTTCCTCCCCCACAACAAACACTCTGTGAGGTGAGTGAGGCTGAGAGACTTCAGAGAAGTGTGACTAGCCCAAGGTCACCCAGCAGCTGCATGTGGAGGAACGGAGATGTGAACTTGGTTCACCAGATTATGAGTCTATCGCTCTTAACCACTACACCACACTGGCTCTCAAAGCAATCATGGTGTCCTCTCACTTCTTCTTCTTCTTCTTCTTCTTCTTCTTCTTCTTCTTCTTCTTCTTCTTCTAGATAAGTACAAAAGTACAACACAACGGAAGAGATAGGACTGGCTTCCATTTCCCACACTTGCCGAGCATGGAATGTAAACACAGACATGTGATGTAACAATCACACATCCAGCAATGGGAGAGAATGAAAATACTGACGCACTTGATTTTGTTATGCAGATTAGCATTGTTGGCATCCAACTGTCTCAAGAGGCAACCTCCCCCTCCCCTTTCTCCCCTATGGTATTATATATTGTATATTTTTCTTTGCTATAAGTCACTTGGAGACCTTTGGGTGATAGCAGCTTGTAACATTCTGAATCCTGGGGGGGGGGGCAGGTGGAGTTGCCAAGGAACACTTGGATGAACAGAACATGAAGTGAATTAGTTTCTTCTGGGGAAAAACGACAGACATGAACTGGAATTAGTTCATCTTTTAGACACGCTGAGCCCGCACTTCGAACTGGTTCGTTTTAAAAACTAACTTTCGAAGCTCTGATAATTACACAGAAAAGGGTCTTCTCTGTGGTTGACATTTCCAGAGACAGGAAAATTCCTGGGAGGGGACTCTGAGGAAGATCCCACCTTGTAGGCTGGTTCGTGTGGGCGATGGTGGTCTTTCAGATGCTGCTAGAGGCCTGAGTAACATCACCATAAATGGTTCTTCATGCTCTTCTGAGCAATGCCATTCTCCTTTTGCTTTCAAACTGAGCCCTGCCGTATTTTCCCAGGTCTGCCTCTCCCTCTTTTGAAATGGCGCAAGCAGGCGTGTTCTGAGGAGCGTACCACACTGTTAATTGTGTGTGTGTTTTTAAAAGCAATAACCTGTGCACTTGTAATGCTTTCACTATGACCTACTTACATACTACTTCACCCTCCTTGTAGTATGATTAAAAGCTCCTTTGAATCCACTATTCCCTCAAGGGATTTGAGGCTAGAATTTAACAAACTGCTCAGAAGGCTTAAGCCAGTAAGAGGGCTTCCCTTACAGCTTCTCCCGGTAATTTTCAGATGTAATTAAAGAGAAAATAAATATTTCAAGATGCCGTACATTTGAAACAAAACAATGCAAAGCGTCTTTCCAGCATCTGCATCACATGGGGAAGAAGCAAAGGCACCAATCGTCGTCGGCTGATTTGCAACGGGATTCTCCGTCTACGTGTTTGTGGAGGGAGGGAGGTTTTCCCCTTCAGCCATGTTCACGTGCTCATTCCTACCCTAGTTGAGAAGGCCTTTGTTGGGCCCGGAAATGGCCTCTGGAAAACAAGGCCAGGCAGCTAGGCTTCTGACCTATTTCCTTGGGAGGAAAATGGACCAAAATGCCTCAGAATCATCTTTCCCTTCCCCCGCCCCATTTCCTGGAGGGAGGGAGAGAGAGAGAGAGAGAGAGAGAGAGAGAGAGAGAGAGAGAGAAAGAGAAAGAGAAAGGAAGAAAGAAAAATATGGAACTGAATGGAAAGATTGTATAGGGTTAAAACGACACGATGCAGGCTTCTTATTTAAACGAATGTCTTCATTCCTTCGTCTCCATTGCGCTCTTGTCTCCTTCAGCTGCTGAGTGCTAAAAGCTGCCCTTTCTGCAGTCACAAGATTTTTATTTTTTTTTTGAGGGGGGAAATTGAATGTTAATCCTCCTCTACTCTAGGCTGGATTAACCACCGTGGAGGCCTCTGATCACAAATCAGGTGGCGGCGTCCATCTGGAGAAAGTTGTAATGACTTTCCCCTCCCCCTCCTGCTACATTCCCTTCCCTTCGCGCTCCTGCAAAATTTGTTCCAAGATACTTCGGTGGGTGTGCTGAGATAAAGAAACCAAATGCCAAGAGATTAGTGCTAAAGGGGTTTTCTGGAATCTTCCATGACCACCCTTATGTACCCTCAAACTGTGCCTACTTACTAGGGTTTCCCCACCCACCCACATATTTTTTCATGTCGTTAAAAAAAAAACCCCAGAATCAGGCAGCATGCACCTTTGTGCTTTCCTTGCACAATAAACCATGGTAAGCTTGGGAGTGCTCCTGGGCACCTATTGATTACTAAAGGCTCAAATGTCATCTGTGACTTGGATTGCCTTCTGCTAGCATTGTCTGGTTCACCTCCAGCTACATCTGTTCCTGGACAGGAGCAGGCAGGCTTCGTAGTTCTTGCAGTGGTAACTTCAAGGCTGTATTGCGCATCCTGTTGAACATGGGGCTGCTAGACAAGATGCACCTTCATTCTGATCCAGCAAGGAGATGCTCTTGTGTTTCTTGAGTTGCTCGCCAACCATGGTTTATTGTGCACAAGCAGAACATGGGTTCAGTTGCTCCTCCTCGGACACAAGTGGAAGAAACAAACCAAGAAGTGTCAGTGAAGCTGGGATAATGGCTTGCTAAACCTTGGGATGGGGAAGGAGATTTAACGGTGAACCTACCTAATCTGCACTTCTCGAAAGCATCCATGGACCAAAACATAGCAATCCATTGTACTGTGCATTTCCCCAAATTTTGCAATGCAGTTCTACATCCCAAGGAGTGTGTACAACAGTGCATACTGGAATAAAGTTTGTATATTGTGTATGAAAATAAGATACAAAAAATGCATTACACTAGGGAAAAATAGCTTTGCTGAAATGTTTAAATCAGGCAAAATGGCATTCAGAAGTGTTCTGTCTTGAATTCCTCCCTTTGTCTCTAAGCAGCAGACTTGTGTGTCGTAAAGAAAGCAGCTTCTGAAACTCAGCTTGGTTTCAAAAGAGGCTTGCCACATAATTTGAGAATCAGAAGCCTCTTTGGTGTTTGGGTCTAGTTTCCCACTTCTCTGGATTACAAGATATAGTTACAGCACATTTTCTCACTAACCATACCAGCTGCTGCTGTATATCTAATATGTGCCACTTGGTTTGCTGTAGTATCTGTACTGAGGGTGTGGGGTGGAGTGGCAACAGGGTGCAGTTGGAGGGTCAAACAGAGTTGTTGTTGTTTAGTCGTTTAGTCGTGTCCGACTCTTTGTGACCCCATGGACCAGAGCACGCCAGGCACTCCTGTCTTCCGCTGCCTCCCGCAGTTTGGTCAAACTCATGCTGGTAGCTTCAAGAACACTGTCCAACCATCTCGTCCTCTGTCGTCCCCTTCTCCTTGTGCCCTCCATCTTTCCCAGCATCAGGGTCTTTTCCAAGGAGTCTTCTCTTCTCATGAGGCGGCCAAAGTCTTGGAGCCTCAGCTTCACGATCTGTCCTTCCAGTGAGCACTCACTCAGGGCTGATTTCCTTAAGAATGGAGAGGTTTGATCTTCTTGCACGCCATGGGACTCTCAAGAGTCTCCTCCAGCACCATAATTCAAAAGCATCAATTCTTTGGCGATCAGCCTTCTTTATGGTCCAGCTCTCACTTCCATACATCACTACTGGGAAAACCATAGCTTTAAGTATACGGACCTTTGTTGGCAAGGTGATGGCTCTGCTTTTTAAGATGCTGTCTAGGTTTGTCATTGCTTTTCTCCCAAGAAGCAGGCGTCTTTTAATTTCGTGGCTGCTGTCACCATCTGCAGTGATCATGGAGCCCAAGAAAGTAAAATCTCAAACAGGGTGGCAAGATGCAAAAGGAGGACAGGACAGCACCTTCCATAGTTGTGAAGAAGATGGCACTTCAGCAGGTGTAGCTGGTCAGCACTGTCTGCCAGAGGTTCTCCCGGTGTTCAGACAGGAATCTGGAGTTGGAACAGATTGAGCTTGGGATCTTGTGTGTACAAAACATGCCCTCTACTGCTCTACATACATAGGAATCAACCCAGTAGTCCATCTAGCTCAGGGGTCAGCAAACTTTTTCAGCAGGGGGCCGGTCCACTGTCCCTCAGACCTTGTGGGGGGCGGACTATATTTTTTTGGGGAGGGGTGAACGAATTCCTATGCCCCACAAATAACCCAGAGATGCATTTATATAAAAGCACACATTCTACTCATGTAAAAACACACTGATTCCCGGACTGTCCGCAGGCCAGATTTAGAAGGCGATTGGGCCAGATCCGGCCCCTGGACCTTAGTTTGCCTACCCATGAGCTTGCTCCTACAGACATGGGCAGTTGCTTTCCATGGTTTCAGCTCAGCAGTATTTTTGCCATTTTTTAAAATGAGGTTACTGCTGTTTTATGCAATTTCTGCTGATTGATCTTCATGATTGCATGTGCTGTGTGTGTAATACATTCTTTATTTGATTTCTAAGCCGCTTTTGCAGGCGTTTTGCAGTAAGCAAAAGGGAAGGAGATTCTAAGCAAATAGAAATCCAGTAACGAGATTCTCGAGGGAACAGCTCATTCTCCAATCTCCTCTCCTCCTCCAACTAAAAGGAACTGCTACTCTATTCACATAAAATAGAACAAAAGTAGACCTAATCACATCTGACAAATGTTGGAGGGCATGCACTGGGTTTAATGCAGCTGTATTGCGGCATCTCCTCTAGGCATGGAAGGATAGTAGCTGCCTTGTTCTGGTACAAAATTGAGTGACCCTTTGTAGCATATGCTGGATTTTTCTTCACTAGGTTTAAACTTCATTTTATGCCCATACTGCATATGCTGGGATAATTTAACACTGTTTGGGAACTAGATATACCATGGCGTGCTGAAAATATGCAGAAAGATAGCTTGATTGTTCATTTTTTTCATAACAAAAGGTGTATTTGCCAGAGAAAGAGAACTGTACGTTTTGGGTGAGCACACCAAGAATGTTTCATTTGAAAGAGGCACTGTGTATGAATTAGGATTCTTCATTCTTATATCTGTAAGAAGAAGTTATTCTAACAGCAGAGCCCTATGTATGTTTACCTGGAAGAGTAGAATTGTAGAGTTGGAAGGGACCCTGAGGGTCATCTAGTCCAAGCCACTGAAATGCATGAATCTCAACTAAAGCATCCTTGGCAGATGGCCTTCCAGTCTCTGCTTAAATGCCGCCAACGAAGGAGAGTCTACCACCTATTGTTGGAGTCCGTTCCACTGTTGAACATTTCTTGCTGCCAAAAAGTTCCTCCTGTTGTGTTGTCCTCCTTTCTTGTCACTTGAAGTCATTGGTTTGGGTCCTATAACAAGTGTGCGCCATCTTCCATGTGACAGCCCCTTAGATGTTTTAAGATGGTCCTCTTAGTCTCTTATCTAGGCTAAACATACCCAACTCCCTCCGGTTCCTCATAAGTCTTCATTTCCAGACCCTTGATCATCTTGATCGCCCTCCTCTGCACATGTTTCAGATTATCAATTTCCCTTCTTAGAATGTGGTGCCCAGAACTGGACACAGTACTTCCAGCTGTGGTCTGACCAAGGCAAAATAGAGTGCTGCTAAATTAGCCACTGGATTAAGTGAGGTTTACTCCCTTGTAAGTCTGCATAGGCTAGGACATCAGTCCTAACCACACTCAGCTTTTGATGGCAGTAAGACCCATTGAACCAGGTGGTGCTTGCTCCTGAGAAAATATGCATGAGATTGTGTTGAAAGAATATTAGTCATAAAGATGTAAGACCAAGGAAAGGACTTCCTTGCAGACTTATAAATCATGGGTGCAGAATCTTTTGATGTTGTTGGACTACAACTCCCATCAACCCTCTGACCATTGGTCATGCTGGCTGCGGCTGATGGGAGTGGGACTTCAACAACTGTTAGATCAGGCATAGGCAAACTCAGCCCTCCATATGTTTTGGGACTACAACTCCATCACCCCAGACCACTGGTCCTGTTAGCTAGGGATGATGGGAGTTGTCCCAAAACATCTGGAGGGCCTAGTTTGCCTATGCCTGTGTTAGATAGACACAGGTTCCTCACCTTCTCTAAAATAATGTGAAACGTGAAATGAATAAGCTGGGGCAATGCACAATTGGCTGTTCCTCCATATAAATATCTGTAAAGGTAAAGGTAAAGGGGCCCCTGACCGTTAGGTCCAGTCGTGACCGACTCTGGGGTTGTGGCGCTCATCTCGCTTTATTGGCCGAGGGAGCTGGCGTACAGCTTCCGGGTCATGTGGTCAGCATGACTAAGCCACTTCTGGCGAACCAGAGCAGCACACGGAAATGCCATTTACCTTCCCGCCAGAGTGGTACCTATTTATCTACTTGCACTTTGACACGCTTTCGAACTGCTAGGTTGGCAGGAGCTGGGACCGAGCAATGGGAGCTCACCCCATTGTGGGGATTCGAACTGTCGACCTTCTGATCGGCAAGTCCTAGGCTCTGTAGTTTAACCCACAGCGCTACCCATGTCCCTTAAATATCTGTAGCATATATGAAATTAACTTGGTGTTAGAGGAGAATAGCTTAGACTTCTTCTTAGTCTGCTAGTTTTGTATATATAGGGATTTCCCCACAAAACAGTAACATGCTGATTGAGTAGCAGGGGGAGGACATCATATTTAGGTAGGGCTAATGATGGGAAAGAAATTTGATTGTGTTTGCATTTAAAGACATGCTTACCTAATTAGACCTTTCTAAAACAATGTTCAAACTGAAGCACGGGTATCCTTCAAATGCCACATTTCTCTGAATTTTGCAATTCAGTTCTCCAGCCAATTAATGTGTACCAAAAGACATATACCAGGGCGCAATGTTCATAAAAATGCATATTTTACTCATGTGCTGTTGGATTTTCATGAGGACTGAAAATCAGAAACTGATGTGGGGACATGGCGAACTGAACTTTAAGATAGGAAAAATGAGAAATGGAGAGAAACCAAAATTGGCAGGCTCACCCATTCCCACTGGTCAGAACCTACATACGAATGTGCATAGAAATCTGTTGTATATTGTGTGTATATCTGATGGATCTTTTTGATAAACATTTTGTGTTTCTCAATTCATAAGGCAAGCAAGCGAGCATTGCTACAAGCATGTGACCGCCACAGCAATTTCAGGCTGGGGTATAGAAGGTCCTTTCCCCAGGAAATGATGCATAAATATGACTGTAGGAAAAATCAGAAATATGACCCTAGGACACTTCATATTTGGGAACCAGCCTATGATTAGCGATGTTTGGGTACTGCTTGTTAACAAGGATAGTTTCCATCTCTTGCACTAGAGATTTGGATTCCACCTGACTACCGTGGGAAGACTGTGAGTTATGAGAGAGATCTGTAGCAGTTATCTCTCAATAGTGAAATGAAGTGGGTAACATGTATTGTGTGCATCAGCTTGTAGGAATATTTTTCACAGCCAGCTAGGATGAATTAGCCTGTCTAGGTTGCCATATCAGCAATGGCTAACCCTTGGAACGTTGCAGGCTTGCTTAGGCAGCTGAGTCAAAACATTGGTCTGTTAGCTTAGCATTGTCTACACTGACTTGCAGGTTCCAGACAGGGGTTCCTGTCAGCTCCATGTGGAGATGCCTGGGATTGAACTGTTGGGATACTGCCGGGGAGATGGGGGCATCAGGCAGGCCCCCAGCTGTCTCCAGCCACCATTCAACAGCTGGTCTCCTTTGGAACAGCATCAATTAGCAACATGAGCCTCAGATACGTTTAGAGACCCATGCTCGCTCTGTCAGCAGAGTGTGTAAATCTTCTCATAGCAGAAGAGGCGGACAGAGAAATGTGCAAGCAGTATATACAGCATTTTATTCAGCGTAGTTCAGGAAAATATGTCTGCTTCCCTTCGTGTCCAGCAAAACAGCAGTATAGCAAAAGCAACATACAGCGGAAGTTCCCAGCAGACTGTGCTGGAAGTAAACAGGCATGTGATACACAACAGTCATGCCTGACCCTTTTAAGGTGGAATGGAACTATAGCCTAACATGAACCTGGGACCTTTTGCATGCAAGGCAGATTCTCTAACGCTGCTACCCAGGGGCGGAGGAAGGGGGGTGCGGTGGGTGTGGGTCACCCCGGGTATCACTGCTTAGGGGGGTGACAAAATTCCGGGCGGCACTTACCGTGAGGCCTGTAGCACATCCAAGCCATGTGTCTCTCCTGGTAGAGAGGCAGTGGTTTGAGCACGCATAGGCTCCGCGCTGCCCAAACGGTCCGCCCACTGCCTCCCCCCCCCAGCTGTAGGGCAGCTGAGTGGGAGGAGGCAGGCAGACTCCAGAGCCCCTGCAGTGCGCCCCACCCCTATGGAGGGTTCGTCCCGCCCCTGGGCGCGTCTCCCCAGGTGCCCAAGCAGCTTCCACAGCCACTGCTGATACCCTTGGCAGTTCCTTCCCTTACCCCCTCCCCACATTGCTGTTTTTCACACTGACAAAATTCATATTGTAAGCTCCTTGGAGCAACCTGTCTTTCGTTCCTACAATATTCTGTGGAGCCGCAGGTTCTTTGGTGCAATGTGGATAAACTAAACAGGGCGAAGTAGCTCACATTTTAACTTTTGATAGGAGCAGCATGGATCTTATCACTGCTTAGTTCCCACTGCACTGCACATACTTAGAAGAGGGTGAAAGAGAGGAATAGAAACAAACCAAGAATTCTGGAGTTGGAAAGGATCTTGGGAGGTGACCTGGATCTAGGCTTCCCAAACTGGGATCCACCATGGACCACCAGTGGTCTGAGAGCTTCCTTCAGGGGCTCTGCGGCATGCCTGTATTAAATATTCACATTGATTGTAACTGTATTTTTTATTGCTTCTGTCATTTAAAATGCAAGTTGTAATGCAATAAAATGGAACGTGAGAAATTAGAGAAGCAATAAACATGCAATTGAATATCACGCAGCATTGTTCACAGCACAACTACTGTAGCAGGCAGGAAAATCATTATGTGGTCTGCCAGTACCATCAGTAATGTTCAAGTGTTTCATTGGGAGGGAAATTGGGGGACCTCACTGTTGCAACTAGAGCATCCTTGGCAGATGGCTGTCTAGCCTGTAGTGAAGGACTGGCCACCCACCTCCGGAGGCAGTCTCTGTTCCTCTCTCTGCCCAACAGCTCTTGCTGTTAGGAATTTTCTCCCCGTGTTTAGCTGAAATCTGCTTCTTTGCCATTTCTAACCATTGCTTCTAGCCCTGCCTTCTGGAGCAACAGAGAACAAGCCTCTTCCAACATCTGTGTTGCTCCATCTTCAGCCATTGCTAAAGCTGATATTTTGAAGACTGTATAGTTGCACTAAGAGGTCAACATATATTTAATTAGTTCTGAGTTGACCTATGGTGTACATACCTACATATGTATTACAAGTGTCACATAACATCCATTTGGCATTTGTGAGGAACTTATCTCTTGGTGTGCCAGCTCCTAAACTGTGGAACTCCCTGCCCATTGACTTTAGGCAGACACCTACACTGCATTTTTTTCAACACCCACCAAAAACTTATCTCCTTGGGCAGCCCACCCAGACATGTAAAGCAGATGTGTGTTTTTAATATGTTCCTTCCTCTTACTGTATAGAACTCTAGATGTCAATCTTACTCATTCTGCTTTTTCATAAACTTGTTTTTAACGTTGATTTTATTAATAATTTTAATGTATACCTCTCCTGGGCTGGTTCACTCCAGCAGAGATCCCTTTGTGGGCTGGATTGCGCAGGCGCGTAAGCGCCCGCGATTTCCTGCGTCTGCATCTGCACAGATACAATTTTCATTTTCTGCGCATGCACAGATGCGATTTCCGGTGCTGTGGAAGTGAGTCCCTGCACCACGTTGGTTTAGCGCAGCACGCAGGGACTTGCCAAGTGGGCGGCTCAGTTCAGGGGCAGCTCATGGGCCGGTTAAACGACCTCGTGGGCCACTTGTGGCCCACGGGCCTTGGGTTGCCTACCCCTGGCTTAGAGGTTTCATTTACAGTTAAGCGGCATACAAGTTTTGAAAAATAAAATTAATGTGTGTGTGTGTGTGTGTGTGTGTGTGTTTGCACGTGGGTATATAAATATATTCTAATATATTTTACGGGCTCTGCTAAAACGACTGACCTAGTTTTGTATCTGGTTTCATTCATGCAGAAAGTTGCTCCTTTCAGCAACTAATACTCATGCAGACACTTGTATTTTTCGGAGCCGCTCGGTCCCTTTTGTTCCCCTCACTTCTTCTGTGTTCCTTTCTGCTCTGCCTCCTCCTTTGCTCTCACTGTCCTCGGCCTCATTTGCCCTCACTGCTATTCAATTGGATTGGCTGCGGCGATCCTCGTGACTTTTTATTTAGGCATCCGCGATGATATCACACCTGATGCTGATCTGTCACATCAAAACAAATGGGTGCCAAACGGCATAGAAATAACCAGAACGTTTGGCAAGTCATTCCCCTCTCCCCGATAATTTTATTCAGCCATGTTAAGATGCCAATATAGAAATTGGAGAATATTCTGTGGAAAATCTAATACATAATGTATAGATCTGTTTGCTGGGGCAGAGTAATGCAGTGATGCCGATATTGTGTTTTGATTTAGCTTGAATTCCTACGGTTCTGGATAGCGCTATTATTATTTTTAAATGTTAAAGATCTGTGCTGCAATATGTTGAACTAATAAAAAGGAAGGAAATAGTGGATGAGATCCAGCATCTCACCAAGAGCCCCTTCTTTTTCTCACCCCCTCCAGCTCCCCATTCTCCCTCAGTCTCTCCCAGAGCAGATTTTGGGGGCACATGGGTTTCGGAGGGGAGGGGAAGGAAAAGAAGTCCTTTTTGCACAAGTGGATCGGTTGTGCAAACAGAATGTCGTAATTGGATATTTCCCAGCAGTAAGAAATTGATCCTTCTGAAGTTTTTGCATAGCCTCATGATCAGTTTCAAGTCTTTTGAACAGAGCACTGAGGTCCCTGAATCAATGTACAGTTTTTTGATGAAAATGAGAAGTGTGCTTTTTATTGCATAAAGTTAGTTCTGCTGAACTCATGTGAATGAGGGTGACATCTGCCTTGAAACATTTACTGCCTTATTGTAAAAGTGCCTCATTTGTTATAGTGACTGGTGTAGGGCTACTTCATACTTCAAATTCCTAGGGGATTGGTATCAGTTCCTCAATCGGCATTTTAGCCCATTGGACACAGAGCCATAAATACATAAAATATGAGAGGGTCTTTATTTTCTCTTTCTCTCTCTTTTCCACATAGTCCTGACTGCTTTGGTTTCATAGTGCAAGTTTCCCCCCACCCATAAGATGATTTCTTCCCCTTCTCCCCATAACCCCATCTGGATTCCTTATGGATGTTGTAAAATAAATATTCTCAGATATCAGAAAGGGCTTTATTCTAAAAGGTTTATGAGAGTTCCTGAGAATATCAGAGCCATCGGGCGATTAATCACCTTTCCATGTTTGCGCTTTTATTATCTATCCATCTTTCTATAGTCTATCTATCTGTCTATTTGTCTATCGATCTCCTTGGATAAAGAAGCAAGGAGCCAAACACTTTAGCCCATTCAGCCCCCCAAAGCTAATTTTATGAATTTGTTAACAGATTGTTTCTTCGCCCTGCATAGATGAGGGTTATTTTAAATGTAATTTGCTTCTGCTTTGCAGAGTGCAGAGAAACCAATAGAAGTTGGATGAGGCCCAAATAAACAGACCTTGGGTTCAACAGGGGAATATTTTTTGTGGCGGTTCTTGTTTTGTAAACCCTTCCAAAACTCTTTTTATCGTCGCCACAACAAGCAGTTTAGCAGGATCCTGAGTGAGTTAAACAAAAGCGGTTTGGAAATCCAGAAACTGATTCCTTATGCGTTTGAGAGAGGCTGGCCCTCTGGCTGCCTTTTCTCTCCCCCACCCCACCCCACCCCCCAAAAGAAAACCTCCTTTAAAACAAATCGAGCCTGTCCACAATTTCGAGCGTGCATCGTCCAGCTCTTTGCCGAGGCTCTCTTCCCGGGTTTGCAGGGGTTAAATTCTAGCTGCAGTGGGGAAGTGGCTCCGCCCCCCGTTTTCAGCACCTGGCGCTCTATAGACAGTTGCCTCAGCAGTAGATTTCAGAGGGGATTGGAGGAAAACAAGAGGGGGAGAGAATGTGACAACTGCCGACTCTGACTGCTGCCTTGGGGAGGCCTCTCGCACCTGTCCTTGCCTGTCTCTTGGCCAGTGCAGTTGTTGAATCAGACAAGCAAGAGGAACATTCTTATTTGCCAGACCAGAACGGTGTGCATAGGAGGAAAGGGAAGAGGAAGAAGAAGAAGAAGAAGAAAAAGAAGAAGGAGAAGAAGGAGAAGATGACTTCTTCATTCAAGCTGGATTTTCTACCGGAGATGATGGTTGATAGCCGCTTGCTAGTTTCCGACAGAATGTAAGTACCGACTCAGCTGCCCGGCAGCATCCGAACCTCAGACCGAGCCAGTTCCCGAGATTCTAGATGGTTGTATTTTGTGTGCTTTTTTTCCCCCTGGAGGGTTTTGATCGTATAAACAAAAGCCCTGGATTTCTCCCTCCCTTTCTCTTTCTCTCTCTCTCTCTGAGGCTACCGACTTGCTGCTAGAAGTGTCTGTGTAGCAGAGTAAGGATTTATTCCCTCTCTCTCGTCACTTGAAAATTCTTTTGTGGTCTCTAATGTATGTGTGTGTGTGTGTGTGTTTTCTTGCACTCATTCCCCCCCACACACCCTCCGTTGTGTTTGATCTGCAACATTCTCTATCAGGGAAACTGGGGGGCGGCTAATGGTAGCTGTAGAGCAGGGATCCGATAAGTATGATTTATATTCTGTTTATTTAATGTGGGGAAATGCAGTGCCGAGCCTTGCAGGGTTTTGTTTTATTTTATTTTTAAGAAAGGCACACTCTTCACATCCAGTGGAAATTCCTATACAGATATTTTGCCTCCTGCTTAGAAATCTCAACTTGTTCAGGGGGTTAAGGCGCAACCTGCTCAGATTAAGAAAGAAAATGCACTTAAAAATAAATTAGCCACAGATGCAGACTGTTTGGATATGTGGGAAAATGTGGTCAGTTTTTGTGACAGAGCACGAAGGAAATTAAAACGGACAATTTTGCCCGTGTTGGCGGATGCATGGTAAATTTAGTGTTAATTATTAGGAAGATTATTCTTGTATACAGGGATGGAAAGGCTAGAGAGATTGATTGGACAATGTGCATGCTAGATTTTCATGAAGGGAAACAGATTTGGTTAATTTTCAGCCTTGCCACTTGATCTTTAAAGTTCCAGTTGCTCTATCATTGCCTGACATCAGGAAAGGAAAAGAAAGTGTATTTTGGGTTCTCTAGGAAAGAAAGGCAAAAATTCAACAGAGTAAATCTGGACCCTAACGTAACATCATTCCTGGAAAACAAAATTAATCCCATCTGAAATAAGAATGATAGGATCACGCCGAACTTTGCAAACAAGAATATGACCATGCTGGATTTATATAATGAAAAGGGAGGAAATGAGATTGCAGCACTGGCTATGTGGTACGTCTCTTTAGTGGAAAGTGTGCGCAAGGTAGAAGTTTGAATAAAACTTTGTACATGGTCTTCAAAACTATCATTTTTTAAAAAAAGAAAAAGGAATGGAAATCCACTTCCTTCCCATATAGTCTGGTGCCGGCCATATTATGAATTCATTCAAAGTTGTTGCACCTAATTCTGCCCCACCCACCTCCCCGGTAATTTTTCTCTTGGGGCTGTAGATTTCTTAGCCGATGGAGCGTTTGAGATGAACTATTCATGAAATAGCCATCTGTTTCAGCTGCTGAGGATTAATGTGTTGCCGAGGTGGGGGTGTCATATTTAGTATGGGTGAGCCTCTCTGTCATATGCATTGTGCATAATACACATGCGTCGTTGATGCCTTCCACAGTCCAGTTTCGGATAATCCTAAATTTAGAACATGGTGTCTGTTGTTGGGAATGGTGAGTTTCCGAAATCGACCATTTCGCTTGACTCGGAGCCTCAATGGTATGTGCTACAGTTGATTGTTTTGTTTTGTTTTGTTGCTGTTATGTTACCCATCCTTCGCCCAGGAGAGTGCCAAGTTGACGCTCTCAAATAGTTTTTGAGAAGATCTGTCAATGCACAAATGTCCGCTTGTGTTCCTCTCAGCTTTATACATTCTTACTGCTGCCCCTCCAAATCAGTCAGAAAAGATATTGCTGATAACCATCTTGGAACACCAGGGTTCTATTACCTGAATCTGGTGGTGTTTTGGCTGTCACTTAAGTTTATGGAAATACTTCCTCAACTCACCTATTGAAGGATGAGAATCGTGTAAAATTGTTCCTTCAGAATCTTGCCTTCTGGAGTTGTGGGGCGAGGGGAAGCCCATAATTCTCCTTTTTTAAAAAGTACTATGCCTCTGTTTGAAAACGATGCAGAATTATATTTTAAAAGGCTTTGATAAATAGCTTTGCATTCACTCTGGGTTTTCCCCTCCCCTCCATTAAAGAACACGAGCTGTATCAGCAGTAACTCTTGTATACAGTCTGCCTTAGCGATCGTGTTATGAGATCTCATCACAATGCAGAAATGTAACTTAGTGGATGGTCCAAGCAGCTATAAAGATTGATGCTTTCCAGGGATTGCACATGTCCTGTATGCACAATTAATAAAGAATAGTTTGCTGGCTTCAGCTGGGGCTGGAGGAAGACTAGTAGGGGGTGTCCAGTCTTTAAATAAGGATATATGACCTTGCACTTTCTCGAGAGTGGAAAACAATTGCATCATTACAGTCTCTCTCTCTCCCACCCCCTGCCAAAGATGCGATTGGTTCGGTTTGTGTATAATTCTCTTTGGGAAGCCTTTGGATTCATCAGCGCTGATGAATGAACGGTTGTACAGCTTGATTGCCCATGAAGAGCCGTTTGTCATACAAGCATGTTGCCCTTTTAGGCCGCCCAGCCCAGATGCCCGAAGCGACGCCACAAGCCTGGGAACCCATTTAATCTTTCTCTCGTTGCCTGTTGGGTGAGCGGCTCAAAAGTTTCGGCAAAGGGCACAATCCGCAAGGAAGTTCTCTCCCTTCAAATCCCTACTGAAATGAATGGGAATGAGCCCAATAGCGTGGTCAATGGGTTGTTGCCCAACCCTTAATTTTATATCCTAGGTGAGAACAACCAGTGCTGTCTTTAGCAAGGATTAATTGATGTAGATGGAAAAGGGTTGTCAGTTTTTTGTCTCTCCTAAACTGTTAGAAAATGTCATTTTCTATATTTTTTTGAAGGTTCTTTTGTTTGCCTAGGGAAGAACGACTATCATAAGATATTCCAATGTTCATGAAAGCTACTGCATATAATTTTCGCTCTGCGTAATCTTTAAACATTGCCGGTTTGAAATACATATTATAGTTTTCAACTCTTTTAAGCTTTATTTACGACTCCAATAATCAACAAGAAAGCAGTGGCTATCCTCCCTCCCAAACACACACACACACATTTGTGGATTGGTTTCTTATTACTCTTAAGATAATAACATTTGAATTGGGTGCTATATCGAATGCATGGTGCGTATTACTTTAATAGGCTAAGCTGACACTGAAAGTGTAAGTATTCAGTCATTTGTACTGATGTAGATACCGCCACAGCCTGGGCAAGATGAGTAGGGCAAGAAAGTCCTGTAGTACTTCCTTCTGGAATTCCATAATAAAAAAATTGCCATTAAACAATACCCATGGAGGGTAGCTGCTGGTGATCCCAGCTGATATTAAGAGGTGGCGTAGATGGTTCATTTCCTTGTTGTGCCCTTTGCGGACTTCGTCTGGCTCTATTTTTCAGTCGCATAAAATGTGATGCATTGCTTTATCTCCCCGTGGCAGTTGTCAATGGTGTAGAAGAACCAAGAAGCTAAGTCCAGAGGGTGATACATTGAGGTATTAGCCAGGGCACCACAACAGGCAACAGCACACACACACACTCACCATTCTGACTTCACGTGAGCACCTACAAAGCTCAGAGAATTCTCTGTTTACCTTTCCCAGGCTAAGATATTCCATTGGGTGCACTTTGGCTGAGGGGTGTCTCAAATGTTGTGGCTGCCCTACCTGCTGGTTTCCTTCCCCTGGGCCAGGAGTATATCACAGCTAATAAAACTGCCGGTCTTTACCTTTGATAGCATAGTAGTTCCTAAGACCACACACTTATCAGCTTGGTCTCCATCGCTGTCTTTGGATTGTTATACCATTGTAAGCAAACCAAGCTTCATCATCAAATTGCTCTGTGCTTACTCACTCCAATCTAAGACCATGTGACCTCCTGCCTTTTGGAGGAATGGAGGAAGAATATCCTTGATCACAAAGGTCTTAGTAACTTCCTCCTGTAAGTGGAGCAAACCTTAATTCTTTCAGGGAACATCGTGTGTTCTCTGGACCTCTTGATAGCAAATCTCTGGATCAGAGTGAGCATTGTTTATAAGAGTCACCCCAAAATGTATGCTACAGCATCCCTCGTGTACCATAAAACATCATTTTCTGTATTGAAATATCTTAGTCCTGAGCACGAGGTAGAAAGCTAACCCTTACTACAATACTAAGGAAATGTTTGGACTGCTCAAGAGATGAAGTAATTCAAGAGAACATAATGGTATTTTGCAATAAAATAAAATAAAATAAAATAAAATAAAATAATTGGGATGCTTGTGTTTTTTCCAGTAGCAAACACTAATAAAGACATCTCACATCACTGAAATCAACGGGGAGAACAATGTTGGGTGGCTTTCACTCACCTAGTGATTTTGCAGAAGGGCTACTCATTAAGTTCAGTGGAGGCCAGAAGTCCCTATAAACATTCCTTTGCATGCATGGATCTGTTGTTCCTGTTCAAATGAACAGTGCATTATGGGTTCCAGAGAGTCCTGTATCTGCATTGGAGTTCACCTACAGGTTTGGCTTAGTGTGATTATCGATTATATTAATATGAGCATGGTTGTTCATTTTGGACACTGTGCTCTTACATCTTGATGCGGCAGTCTATCAACTCTGCTTATCACTTTGGATTCCATTGCGCTCCTTTTTTTTGCCTACTCACTGACCAGATCTGAGTGCCACAGACACCAACTAAATTTGAGTTTTATGTTTTAATGACTCAAGAATATAATCACGTGCAACTGATTGGGTGCCACAGAAAAGTGCCATGAGTTATCCATTAAAATTAGTCTTTGAATTATCTCCCTCATCTCTGAGATGAGTCAAATTTTCTCACATGTATGCCAATGTGTTAATTATGTGGTGGTTGATGATATATTTGAAGAGCTGGCGTATTTTTCTTTTAAGATATTCAGTGTACTAAAGAATTTAATCTATACAGAGTTTCATTGTCTGTGTAGCGCCCTTTCTGAGGGGGGCACAGAGTCTGGTAGAAATTCAGCCGGGGAGGCACCCATGTTTTTTCGATTGCCTCACGAGAGAAAATGCTCAACTGCATTGAAAAATATTAAATCACAAAATATGCATTATAAAAAGACCTGGAAACCTCCCCCCAAAAGAGAGAGAGAGAGAGAGAGAGAGAGAGAGAGAGAGAGAGAGGAGTGCTCAGCACCTATTGCCAGTGAGAAACTGTGTACCTTGTTATCTGCTGTTGTTTGATGCTCTTTCCTTATCGTATGTTCGTATTTTGGCAGACAGTTCTAGCATTGATCCGGCTGGCAGTATCATTTTAAATTGTTCCACGTTGATAGTTCATTGTAAGTTGCTCTGTTCCGATTCCTTTGGCAGCCATTGATGAAAAGCCTAAGGAAGGAGGAATAATAAAAAGAACCTTGAATGAAGATTAAAAGCTTCAAAACTGAATAAGGATTTTCAGTGATACACATGGTAAATTAAGCTGCGGGCAGGGGGATCCAATATATTCGCCTTCCCTGCTCATCTTTACAGCTATTGTTAGATAGTATAAAGTCCATGATCTTATTTTTACTTTGTACAATGCCTAGATTTTAAAGTATTATTATTATTATTATTATTATTATTATTGGCATTGTGTAAACCAAAAACAAATTGAATCAATTGCGAGGTTCTAATCCGATTGAAAAGAACACCCCACTCCAAATGTGAATGTATGAGATAAAATGAAGATGGTGCTTATTCAACATGCAGGAGATGTATTTTTTAAAGTTTATTAATAATAGTGATATCACACTGCTTTTTCAACATACCAGTTTCTCTCTATCAGATGTGATATATCTTCCTTTAATCTCACACATTTTCATTGTTCGCTTATTTGTTTCTTGTCACCCAAACTAAAACCCAGTGACTAATATGATTTATTTATTTTGCTTCCATTGGAGAGAGAAAAGACATTCTCCTAAACATTTCAAAATGGGTTTTGGTGTATTTTAATTGTCTTAGTATTTTGTAGTAATTTTGGCAAGTTTCATAATTATTCCCACATGTTCTTTAAATAATAGCAACAACAGCAACTCGGAAATTGTGTATGAATGGCAGAGTGGGAGAATTCAGGCAATTTAAAAATTCATGGAATGTAAAAAAATGTTTATCATCAAGAAATGGCCCACTAGAGATTGGGAGAAGTCATTGATGCCCCACAGAATATGCATATCACACAAGCGCCTTAGATCCAAGCTGGGGAGGGATTGCTTCCTTCGATTTTTTTAGCCCGACTAATTCCTTTCCTTGTGGTGCTGTTTTGGGATTGAATCACTTATTGTTGCAAAAAACATAACCATCTCTTCTGACATGGTTATGTGTGTTTGGTGGCAGGAGGTTTTGGGGAAAGAGCGAAGTCCAGATTTTGCAGGGAGAGAATTAGCTCTTGGGGAAGAAGAAAGGAGAGGCAACTCACTGGGGGGGAAAGGAATGCCAACACGAGAGAATCTCTTTGGAAAATAAAAACTAATTGGAGCAATAAAAGTGATGCTCTAAAGTAATTCTGGAATAATTGTTCCTATTTAGAATCATCAGCCTTTAATTGCTTTGCCCACACTCCCAAGCTCAATTTTCGCATGTGAAGGGAGACCAAATAATTTCCTGCAAAAAAATCTAACTTCTGATGTCAAATGCTCCCTTTCTCTTGGGAAGGCCCCCCAGCTCAGTGGGTGCACACATACTGTATCCGAAAAACCTACAAAGTTTAATCCCTGGTCTTTCTAGATAGTGCTAAGAACCACCTTTTTCTGAAACCTTGGAGAACTGCTTCCCATCATCGTAAGCAATAGTGGAAGCACATCCGTCTATTCCTGGTCTATGTTTACCCATAAGTCTGTTCCAACCCAGTTCCACATTAATCTGAATCCCTTAAAATAAAAAAGGATGAAATTTCACATTTAAATTTGTTTTTAAATCTCTAAACGTTCCCCCTGAGAATATGCGGTTCTAAATGCTTTTTCTCTCAAAACACACCTGTAAAAACATATTTTGATATGTGCATTTCAGCTCAGAGCATTCCCAAAGTGCAAAGGCCGGTGGGTAACTTAAGTTCTGATCTGTCCGTTAGTCTGGTGTGTGTGTGTGCCAATCAAGGCAGTTTGTACTGGGATTTGCAAAGATCAAATCACTCAAGCACCCTGAAAATACAATACTGAGCTAGATGGATCCCAAGCTCTGGCTGCTCCAAGACGGCTTCCTGTTTTCCTACTCAAGATTTTAAGAATGTTCTCCAATGCTTTGATTGCCTTTGGCTCCCTCCACCCATTCTGTATCTCCTGTGAATGGTGTTGACGGGTGTTCAGTGTGGTCCTCCGGTTGGCTTTACTGCTGCTAAGCCTAGACCTTTGTCCTTCTCTCATAGCTCACGTATGTCACTCTTCCTCAGGAGGATGCCGTTTTGACAATCAATTCCTCCTCACAATGCCAGCATATATCATAGAAATGTGCTTCTCCTTGGCAGCATATCTGTTTTCTTCACAGCTTGAGCCCCTTCAGATAATAACGTTGAAATTATAACAGAGGCAATATGATTGCCTGGCATTTAAAATGTCATTGGGAAGCAACTTTTGTTTTACGCTCAGCCTTAAACACACCGTATTCCAGCGAATGCCCAGGTGAGCCCGTTTTGCAGAGAGATTGCCTGCTATCCTTGCGTGCCCATAACTAGCTGGATAACAAGCCTGCTACGAATCTGGACCTGGTGACCTCATGGAAAGGTTGCAACTCAGTGGTAGCGTTATCTTCTTTGTGTGCAGGATGTCACATGATCAATCCATGACAGCTCCAAATGGGGCTGAGAACGTCCTCTGTCTGAAACCCTGGAGGGCCGTTGCCAACCAGAGAAGACTGGCAGATGGATCGTGGTCTGACTCAGTATCAGACAGCTTCCTATGTTCCTAAATGTCAAGGGAAGGGAGTTCAGCCTTAGCTACAGGACCAAGCTGCAGTGGCAGCCTTTGTATTCACCAAGCTTCTCTAGGAAGAACCAGAGTGGTAGAACTTCTGCTTTTCATACAGAAGGTCTCCATTTCAGTCATCAGCATCTCCAGGTAGGGCTGGGAATGTTCCCTGGCTGAAACCCTGGAGACCAGCTGTCAGTCAGTGTGGACAACACTAAACTAGCTGGATCAACAGGCAAATTCAGTAGAAATCAGGTTCCTATCTGCCAATAGGTCATGCCTGCTGTTTTCCTTGCCCCTCCAACCTCCACCTAACAGAAAGCCATGTCTTGGACAGATGAAGGGATCTCCTGTTGCTGTATCTGAGCATTGTTTCATCTTGTTTTGCATATTCTTAATTGCCATCGGCAGTTCTCTGAAAGCTTTGCAGGTTCATGGAAGCATTCCCTCTGTTGAAAACGCTGAGCAAGTCTGTTGATCCATGAGCTTCATTTATACATTGGAATGGGCCACAAGCACCTAGACTGGGTGGCGTTCAAGGCTGGGTCACCTATGTATGTCCCACACTTCTTAAAGTGATAATGCCAGGTGATGGCTACTACAGCTGAAACATCTCATGGCTGGCTAGTGAGAGGAAGTTGACCTCTGGTGTTTCAAACAATGTCCCATTTTTTCAGCACAAACACCGATGGCTCACTGGACTTGCAGTTGAAGAGTCAGCCAATGGCTAAAGCGTTGTGTCTGCATTCCAGAATTTTTTGTAATCAATTCTTGGATAATGTATGTGAAGTATTTGAAATACAGGGGGGGTTCTATATGGAGATTTGGTGGTTAATAATAATCATTAGCACAACTATGTTTGCTTGGAGGTAGGTTTTCGAAAACATATTACAGTGGCGCTTAGGAACCCTGCCATATTATTAAAGATGGATGGATCTGTCAGTTTCAGGTCTCTCATTTTTCTACATTTCTGCATCAGTTTGCTTGCAAAAAGAAAAAGAAAAAACTCTTACAAAAATGCATCATCGTTTTAGTGTACGCTTCTACCTTTGTGCGTAAGTTTGCCTAATTGAAACAATTTTGCAAGCAGTTTTCCCTAATATGCATTCTGTATGTTATCCTCACTAATATTGGCAATTTTTGCACACCCATTCCCCAATGCACCCATTTCTATACAATTTTTTGGGAAGGTGGGGAGCTGCATTACAAAATTCGTAGATGGGTGAATTTCAAATGATAGCTGCTTTTCGGCATTCAAATTATTTCAGGAAGTGTGAATCCTGTTCACATAATGTGAACTGAACCTAGTTTCCTCCCCATCCTTTTACATACTCTTCAGCCCTTGTGCTTAGCTGATGCCTGATTCTCTACGAACTTAACAGATGAGAAGGATTCTGTGCATCAGACATTACCCTTGCAGCTGCCATTTTACCATAATTGCCTGGGGAGCTTTCCACTTGTGCCAGTTGAGCATGACTCACGATGTCAGTGGTAAGCCTGCCATTTGTCAATTAATTGATATTAAAAAGGCTCCGTCATTTAACCCGCTGACAGCATTTCAAAGGATGAGAGCTCAACACGTGCCCTGACGCTGCATTAATAGCAGCAGTCTATCTTTAGTTGGCATGCATTAGTTACCAGCATCCAAAGAGACCGCGGATCAATTTTTGCTCAAGCTCGTCCATCCACTGAGAAGTTTCATTGTTATACCAAAATACTAATACACCCTTTTAGGCTGTTTTCCACGCACCAGCTGGATGGATCTGCCCTTTCTATCCCAGCTCTACCTGGAGGGATGAATTTGTACGTGTGTTGTGTGTGGCAATATATCTTGGTAACTGCCTTAGGTATTTTTATTGAAATATAAGAGAGAAATAATTTAATTAGTATTTTATCTATTGTGTGTGTACGTACATCCATCGAATCTTCAGACAGGATACCCTGATGGGTCTCTGTGTCTCCAAATTCAGGCATAGGAACACAGAACCACAAGAAGTCAGACCACTGGCCCATCTAACTCAGTGCTGTCTACACTGACTGCCAGCAGCTCTCCAGAATTTCAAGTGGGTTCTTCCCTAGCCATGACTGGGACCATTTACATGCAAGGCAGATCTTATACCACTGAGATACGGCCTTCCCCCGGAAAGACATGCTCACAGGTTTCAAGCTTGCCAGAACCACATTTTTGTTTGTTATTAGACCACAAGGTCCACCAACCAGAGTCAGGTACAGAGCAGGGGCTCCAGCTGCAAAATAGTGGCCCAAGGGATGGAGTCAATTGCTTGTTCCACACCAAAAGCCACAAATGAGATGGTGCGGCATATATAAACACCTGAATTACTACAAATAACGTACAGATGCTTAGAGGCTTTTAAACTATATATATTAAGCAGCTTACAATGCTTTTAAATAATAACATGAGACACTTAGCAGCCTAATTTGGTTGTGAGTGGCAGATTACTTTTTGTTAAACAATTGGGAGTCCTTGCCGATATACGGCGAATCATCTGGTGATCTTCCAGTAGATCCCAATATGTCTTTGCTCTGCGCTTGCTCTCGATTGTCTGATACATGGATCCAAAGCTTGATCATTTTAATGATACCAAACCTTGCTTGGGTTTCATTGATCTTTAACTATGTTGTAGGGAATCCGGGGGTTCCTTAACAAGTTTAGGGATTCCTCAGCATTAGGCTTGGTGGACCAAGTTGGTGCTGAAGCATTGATTATTCTGCTGCTCATATGAATGTGCAATGCTGAGGAGGACTCCCCAAAAACCTCTGCAACACCGAGAGCTTGCATGACAAATGTCTGAGAACTTCGTCAGCAGACAAAGTTGATGCGGGAAAGGTGATCCGGAAGGTGGAAAGATTGAAAACTCGCTGGATTTAGTCACTGTGCATTCCTCAAAACAGAAATTTGTTCACTCTCTCTCACACACTCTGTTTGCTTCCTTGGAGGGAAATGTGCCATTCCTTGGCCAACAAGCAGTTTTGAAATGCTTCCCAAAGAGGACGATGGCCTTTTCTCCCTATCCAGTTATTCCCTTTCCAAGCAGGCACAAAACCAATCAGTGAGATTACTTGACCAGACTATTCACTTCCCTCATCAACTTCCGCCCTCACTGATGCGTGGTCCGGCAGCGCTGAGACAGTGTGGCCTAGTTCCAGACAAGTGCTCTTAATTTGCCTGAAATGGGCTCAGGTAATTGAGAGTTATTAACTTGTGGCAAAGGTTGAACGATGTTTGAAAATCTGCAAAACCGAGCCATTCTCCTAATGCTTCTCAACTGCCTATGTCTCCTAATGCTTCTCAACTGCCTATGTCTGGCTGGCTGATTGCCTCCAGGTCTTTATGGGCAATGGAACAGATTCAATGGCAACCAGTCACTGACCCTTAGTCCCACCACAAGTAGGGAATTGCCCTGTGATAGATTTGCAACCTCACTTTCAGTCACTGATCAGCAGTGGGGAAGATCTTGTAGATTTGTGTGTCATATTCCCCTATGAGATGGTAGATTAGGGCTGTGTACACACTAGTTAGGTAAAGGTAAAGGGACCCCTGACCATTAGGTCCAGTTGTGGCCAACTCTGGGGTTGCGGCGCTCATCGCGCTTTACTGGCCGAGGGAGCCGGCATACAGCTTCTGGGTCATGTGGCCAGCATGACTAAGCCGCTTCTGGCGAACCAGAGCAGCGCATGGAAATGCCGTTTACCTTCCCGCCAGAGCGGTACCTATTTATCTACTTGCACTTTGACGTGCTTTCGAACTGCTAGGTTGGAAGGAGCAGGGACTGAGCAACGGGAGCTCACCCCATTGTGGGGATTCAAACCACCGACCTTCTGATCGGCAAGCCCTAGGCTCTGTGGTTTAACCCACAGCGCCACCTGCGTCCCGTACACACTAGTTAGTACCACAAAAAAATGTAGTTTTTCTCAGTCCAGAATCATTCATGCTTGTCATGCAGCTTTCAATCTTGTCTGATTCTTGGTCTTGCCATCCACAAGGCTTGGTGTAGATACACATTTGAAAAACCTCTCCTTGATAAGGTTAGCCACACCTTCTCTATCCTATATATGCCCCAGGTGAATGAAGAAGGAAGTGGTGATTGCAATTCTTGGTATATGCCCACCTGGAAGGTTGGATACTCCAGGTTTTGGATACACCTGCAGTGCTGAGATGACCTTCACCTGTTTTCATCTGTTTGCAAATGGATTCACTGTAGGATAATGTGGAATCAACCTGCAGTGAGCTTACATTTTTGGAATGAATCCAGTTTCTCAAGCGCTGATTTTCAGGAGCAAAATAATTGCAATAGATTTAGTTTGTGCGTGGGCTATGTAGAAAAAAAGAAGACTTGAGATAGCATTGCTGGGTATATTCAGTGGAGACAGCCAAGGGTTGTTATATAAACTAATATAATACAATATAATATAATAACATGTGAACATCATATAAACATTTAATTGAACCCCTATTATTGGCAGCAAGAATATTGATCACTAGAAAGGGGACAGACACAAAGGGTTTAAATGAAGGGTTTAAATGAACTGTATAATGTAATTTGGGACATAGAACTTTCTGAAAAACACTTTGTGAAGCTAGGGAAATGAGTGACTTCTATGGTTGACTTGTGTCCATTTGTCCAGCACACTAACATTCTATTTTTTTTTATATAAGATATTTATTAAGATTTTTTAAAATATTACAATAAAAATGAAAAAAATAACAAAAATACAAAATAAAAATAGTTAAAAACACACAGATTTTCCATTACTTATTTTCCTTTGACTTATTTCCCGGACCTCCTCATACCTCCCTTTTTGTATTCCACTTCAATCTGTTGGTTCAGCAAATCCTTTAAAAGTAATAATATTAGATTTTTACCTATTTATAACCCTTTTTTCATATTCCCTTAAAGCATTACAGCTGGAAACCACTTAATTACTATCCAACATCATTCTAACATTCATTAATTTTACAATATTTCTGTAGATAGTCTTTGAATTTCTTCCAATCTTCTTCCACCGACTCTTCTCCCTGGTCTCAGATTCTGCCAGTCATTTCTGCCAGTTCCATATAGTCCATCAGCTTCATCTGCCATTCTTCCACAGTGGGTAAATCTTGTGTCTTCCAATACTTTGCAATGAGTATTCTTGCTGCTGTTGTGGCATACATAAAAAAAGTTCTGTCCTTCTTTGGCACCAATTGGCCGACTATGCCTAGGAGAAAGGCCTCTGGTTTCTTCAAGAAGGTATGTTTAAATACCTTTTTCAGTTCATTATATATCATTTCCCAGAAAGCCTTAATCCTTGGGCACGTCCACCAAAGGTGAAAGAATGTACCTTCAGTTTCTTTACATTTCCAGCATTTATTGTCGGGCAAATGATAGATTTTTGCAAGCTTGACTGGGGTCATGTACCACCTGTATATCATTTTCATAATATTCTCTCTTAGGGCATTACATGCTGTAAACTTCATACCTGTGGTCCATAACTGTTCCCAGTCAGCAAACATAATATTATGTCCAACATCTTGTGCCCATTTAATCATAGCAGATTTCACCGTTTCATCCTGAGTATTCCATTTCAACAGCAAGTTATACATTCTTGACAAATTCTTAGTTTTGGGTTCTAACAGTTCTGTTTCTAATTTTGATTTTTCCACCTGGAAGCCAGTTTTCTGGTCCAAATTATATGCCTCCATTATCTGATAATAATGAAGCCAGTCTCGCACTTTATTTTTTAGTTTCTCAAAACTCTGCAGTTTCAGTCTATCTCCATCTTGTTCCAAAATTTCCCAATATTTCGGCCAATTGACCTCCATATTGAGCCTTTTCAGAGCTTTCGCTTCCATCAGTGACAGCCACCTTGGGGTTTTGTTTTCCAATAAATCCTTGTATCTTATCCAAACATTAAACAGCGCTTTCCTGACAATATGGTTTTTAAATGCTTTATGCGCTTTGACCTTGTCATACCACAGATATGCATGCCATCCAAATACATTGTTAAAACCTTCTAAGTCCAAAATGTCTGTGTTTTCAAGAAGTAGCCATTCTTTCAACCAGCAAAAAGCTGCTGATTCACAGTAAAGTTTAAAGTCTGGCAGGGCAAATCCACCCCTTTCCTTTGCATCAGTTAATATCTTAAATTTTATTCTGGGCTTCTTGCCCTGCCAGACAAATCTAGAAATATCTCTCTGCCACTTCTTGAAACAGTCCATCTTGTCCACAATTTGCAATGTTTGAAACAAAAACAGCATTCTAGGCAATACATTCATTTTTATCACAGCAATACGACCCAACAGTGAAAGCTTCAAATTTGACCAGATTTCTAAATCTTTTTTCACTTCCATCCAACATTTTTCATAATTATCTTTAAATAAGTTCCCATTTTTGGCTGTCATATTAATCCCCACACTAACACTAACATTCTACAGGGCAAACTGTAGCTGTTGCATTCCATAATATATGGTTGTGTTACCTTTTCCCTTCATCTTGATGAAATTTATAAAAAAAAATAATAAAAAAATTGTGCAGTAGCACCTTAGAGACCAACTACGTTTGTTCTTGTTATAAGCTTTTGTGTGCATGCACACTTCTTCAGATACCTTCATATTGATGATAGCAACTTTCATTTTCTCTCTACTTCAGTGGTTGAAAGAGATTCACTAGTATTGTTTACATTTGAACTGTGCCTTTAGGTTGAGGGGAAAGGGTGTGTGTGTGTGTCCCATATTTTTTAGGAAAGAAAAAAGAGAAGTACTCAGTCTCCATAGGTGCTAATATAAGAAGTGTGTATGCACCATAGGGGAAAACTATATCTCTCTGTATATTACTGCTCTGGTCAGACCTCACCTGGAGTACTGTGTCCAGTTATGGGCACCACAGTTCAAGAAGGACACTGACAAACTGGAACGTGTCCAGAGGAGGGCAACCAAAATGGTCAAAGGCCTGGAAACGATGCCTTATGAGGAACAGCTAAGGGAGCTGGGCATGTTTAGCCTGGAGAAGAGGAGGTTAAGGGGTGATATGATAGCCATGTTCAAATATATAAAAGGATGTCACATAGAGGAGGGAGAAAGGTTGTTTTCTGCTGCTCCAGAGAAGCGGACACGGAGCAATGGATCCAAACTACAAGAAAGAAGATTCCACCTCAACATTAGGAAGAACTTCCTGACAGTAAGAGCTGTTCGACAGTGGAATTTGCTGCCAAGGAGTGTGGTGGAGTCTCCTTCTTTGGAGGTCTTTAAGCAGAGGCTTGACAACCATATGTCAAGAGTGCTCTGATGGTGTTTCCTGCTTGGCAGGGGGTTGGACTCGATGGCCCTTGTGGTCTCTTCCAACTCTATGATTCTATGATTCTACTGGTCTTTAGATCCCTTTATCCCTGATTATTGGTTCTGCTACCTGGGATTGATGGAAGGCGGAGTCCAACAACGATCCTCGTCCCAGGGTTAGACTGTTTGCAGAGTTGCAAGACCCAGCTTCCAAATAAATCAGGTGGTGCTTGTGCCAACCTGAATCGGTGGAAATCACAGGTAAATCCAAGTCCTGTTTAGAAATTCTGTGCACACTTGCAGTCTGGGGGCAGGAGGAACCAGATACTGTCCCCATTAAAATGGATACACATGGAGGGCATGTAAATTACAGAAGAGGCACATAACTCGATGATTTGCAGCTGGAAGCAAGCAAGCCTTATTCTCATCACAGAGTCTGGTGTAGTGCATCATTTCTTCTTCTGAAGTAGGTCAGTGCTGAACATGCAAAATGAGCAGAAGCTGAGCTTTAGCTGTTTTGTAGCCCAGCAGGATTTGGGTTTAGTGAGTTTTCTCTGGCGTTAGAAGGAGCCAGGGCTGGGGCTCTCTCCTTGCAAATGAAGGAAAGGGGTTGCTGTTGTTGTGAACACAAACATTGTCGGAAGGCACAGCTGGAAATGCATCCCCCAACTGCATCTATTTGATTGTTGTAACACCAGCACTTCCCACCCCCCACACCCTACTGTGGGGTGGTTTGCCATTCTCGGTGCCTTCCACATTTCTGCTTTAAAGGCTGGAGACCCAGCGTATCTGAAGGAGAGCTTCTCTCATACTGCCCTCCCTGTCATCTTGAAGGCATCTCTGCTCCATGTCCAGTAATGTTTATGTAAAATGAAATTTATGGGCTGTTTCACGCAGCAGCCTCCATGTGTGACAAGTCTTTGTGTGACTGTAGGAGCCGTTGCTTCTGGCAGCAGTTACAGGAACCCACAGGGAATGTGCTTGCAACCCTCTGTCAGTGCAGCCCAGGCATCAGCCCCTGACACTGAGATCCAGCACCAAGGGTCTTCTGGTGGTTCCCTCCCTGCGAGAAGTGAGGTTACAGGGAACCAGGCAGAGGGCCTTCTCAGTAGTGGCGAATGTAATCATTCCAATACGGTCTGGTCTGCTGCTCCAAAGCAAAGCACCGTGGACGGAACTGCAGCAGCCATCGTCTTACATATAAGCTAAACAAGCTATAGCTTAGGGCCCCACTCTCTTGGTGGCCCCCAAAAAATTAAAGGAAAAAAAACTGGATATACATTTCCAAAATATAAGATAAAAACAAATAAAATAAAACCTACATACAGCAACAGTGTTTTGTGTTGTGTAGGCTCCTATGATGTAAGTAATGGGCCCCGCCTGCTAGCCTGCTCCCTAAAATATCACTGGTTTGCTCATTTCTATATATAGGGTGCCTACATTCTGCATGTGCTTTAGATATCTATTAGGATCATATGTAGCATATATTCAACAAAAAAACAGTGACAATTTGTTGTTGACAAAGGACAGCTGGACATATAAAGGGCCCCATTACCTTCAGTAGCTTAGGGCCTCATCAAACCTAAATCCGGCCCTGCATTAGGGGTTGTAGACCATGCTGCGTTCCACTTATACAACTGGACTTTCCCTTCCTCTGCTCTATCTACACCTCCCTCAACACCCCCCCCCCAAATCTCCTCCAGTAGGTCCTACAACCCCCTGGAGCAGATTTTGAGCATATGCAGGGAGCTGCAGGAGGGGAAAGTTTCATTAGGCAAGCCTAAGTTTGTTGTGCAAATGGAACAACAGCTTCGGATACAACTGTAGAAGCCCAGGGCAGTGATGGCACAGTGAGAGACTGGAGCTGGAGCCAGGGCTGTCACAACATTAGGAGTGTTACGCTTCCTCCTAGATTTTTAATGTTAGCAGGCATGTAGTGTGCTCATAATCAGGATTATGTTGTAGTTTTTTTTTAGTATACATATACTTCTTGTTCCATGGCGGAAGGATTAGTGCCTTTGCTGTGAGACGTCGTAATAATAATAATAATAATAATAATAATAATAATATTTGTACCCCGCCACAACCAGGCTCAGAGCGGCTAACATCAAATATGTAACATATTACCATAAAATCAAGCAATCAGTTAAAATACATCCTAAAATCAAATCAGAGTCAAAGTGAAATCCAGTCATATGGCAGCCTGCAAATTAGGGATGGGGACCTTAAATGCTCACCAGGCCTAACTGTTTATACTGATCTTATATGAGCCTGTGAGAAAAGTTGGGGGGGGGCACTTTCATGCAAGTTCTTATAAAGAGAGAGGGGGAGTCAGACTGGACCCCGGCCAAAGGCCTGGCGGAACAGCTCCGTCTTGCAGGCCCTGTGGAAAGATGTCAGATCCCGCAGGGCCCTGGTCTCTTGCGACAGAGCATTCCACCAGGTCGAGGCCACAGCTGAAAAGGCCTCGGCCCTGGTCGAGGCCAGTCTAATCTTCCTGAGGCCCAGGACCTCCAGGATGGTATTATTTGCAGACTGTAAGGTGCTCCGTGGGGCATACCAGGAGAGACGGTCCCGTAGGTACCATACATGGCTTTAAAGGTTAAAACCAGGACTTTAAACCAGATCCTATACTCCATCGGGAGCCAGTGCAGCTGGTACGGGCCAGTTGTGTCCAACTCTAGGTTGTGCACCCATCTCACTTAAGAGGCCGGGGGCCAGCGCTGTCCGGAGACACTTCTGGGTCACGTGGCCAGCGTGACGAAGCTGCTCTTGCGAGCCAGCACCAGCACAGCACACGGAAACGTTGTTTACCTTCCCGCTATAACGCGGTACCTATTTATCTACTTGAACTTAGTTGTGCTTTCGAACTGCTAGGTGGGCAGGAGCTGGGACCGAAAGACGGGAGCTCACCCCGCCGCGGGGATTCGAACTGCCGACCATGCGATCAGCAAGTCCTAGGCACTGAGGTTTTACCCACAGCGCCACCCGCGTCCCTTGCAGCTGGTATAGCACTGGACAAATGTGATCCTGTGGTGAAGACCCCATAAGGAGTCTCGCCGCGGCATTCTGCACCCGCTGGAGTTTATGCACTCTGTTCTTTTTCTTTAGTATGATAAACATGCACCATGCACTTTTCCTTTGCCAGGTCTGTCTTTGCTTATCTATTTTGAAAGCTTACTAATTTTCTTGGTGGAGGAGCACAAATTGCTCCAAGGGTTGAGTGTGTTGAAAGGGGACAACAAAGCAGCTATAAGATCACTTGATCAGCCTCGGGCTGGTTTTTGTTTGTTTTTTTGTTTGTTTGTTTGTTTACTACCAGGCACCAGCATAGTTACTTGGAATATACAAGCATGACTCATTTTTTATTTTTATTATTGTTAGTATGATGTAATTTGTATTCAGTCGATGCTACGATAAACCCCAGCGATGCATATTGCTTTGTAGAGATCCCATTTGTGCACCAAATTCTCACCCCTCTCCCTCAAATAAATTATGTTCACCTGTGAGCCTGGGCCTTTAGGTCGGATTGAGGGGTTTTTCTTTCGTGACTCTCCCAATCCATGCGAAGAAGGGTCTATTAGAACTGAAATTGGCCTCCTTTACAGTTTTAATTAGGGCAACGGGGAAGTTTTCAATGCAATGTATGGAAATAAGATTCTAAATGACTACAAATACTTGTGCTAAATTTTTTGCTCCCAATTTCTCAAAAGTCTCCCCCCCCCACCCCCACAAAAGAGGCTTTTGTTCTTCAACCTCATTTGCAGGGTGCTTTAGATTTTTGTTAAAAATAATAATAATAATTCTAATTGTAGGGAAGCTTATCTGCTGCTGACTTTTGACATCTTATCAGCACCCTGCAAACTCGTTTTTTATTCTATGGTATATTTGGCTTTAATTGAAGCACCAGAACCAGGGAGGCTAGCTGCCAAGCATCTGAGATTGGTGTACTCACTGGTTTTGTTTTTAAGGGAAATGCTTCAGTTCCCGTCCAAATTTCCATGCAAATTTCTTTCAAAGTTAAAAAGCAGAATTTCAGAAGCCAAGTAGGCAGCCTTCTTGACTTACAGGGAAGTGTACCCCAAGAGACTATGAGGTTTTCAGGAAGTGTGAGCTGCGGCAGATCTTCGGGTCTTGAATTTCAGTGGTGCCCTTTATGATGCCAAAATTTGGTGTCTCCCCACCTTTCTTGCTCCATCTAAATCATGGTTGCTGCACCAGTGAGGATCCGCACCCAGTGCAACCAAACTGGTTATGCTCCCCTAAATCTGCCTCTGGAGTGGGTTCTCAGGAAGGCTGCAGGATGCAGACTAGCAGAGAGATGATTTGAGAAAAGTGGGAAAGGACAGTCTCAAAAACCCTCAGCCATCTTGAGAAGAAGGTAAGCTCCAACCAAAACCCTGGACCCTACCTACTAGAATTCCCAGCAATTTGTCTCTCCCCTTTGATAATTTTTAATGCAGCTCCGTTTCTCATTAGCGAGAAGGTTCTTTGCTCGTAAATTGATTGGTGAGGAAGGGATTTAGATCAATGGTAGAGAAAGTACTTTGCAAGCAGAAGGTCCCAGCTGCAATTGTCTGCCTCTCCAGGTAGGTCTGGTAGAGTCTCCTCTGTAAAACCACATACCTGAGACTAAGGCCTGTTACTGAACTCAATAGGACTTATTTCTGAGTAGATTGCAGGACTGTGCTATAAATCTGGATTCAGCCTTTTATGTATGCCACCAAGAGTTGCCTATAAGTTAAAATCCATCTCTGGAAGAGTGTTGATTTCATTGTCTGGGGGTTTAGAAGTGTTGATGCAGCAGATATGATGATGGTAAATTGAGTCCTCCCTTAAAGAGGGTACGTATTGAGGTGAGACCTGGAAAACTGACACCCTGTGTTGTGGGTGGGTACGATAGGTCAGTCACAACACCCGATTGGTAGGTCACTCATAGATGGGTGCAATCTGGCCAATGGGACGCAGTCCAAACGGTTCAAGGGACCTATTTATGCCCATGCACATGACCCAGAGCTTCCTCTTTTGGCGCGTGCATTCAGAACACCCACCCACCTCTCACTAATTTTAGGGCTTGCACTTGACCTTGCTATGCCGTCGTGTGTCATTGGGACAGGGGCACAGCAGGTATTTCCCCCACTTGGCTGATTGGCTGTTGCCATTTGGGTTTCGCCTGCCGCGTAGCAAATCATCACAACTTGTAAGGTTGTGGATAGGCTCTGGTTCAGGTGATAGGGATGGGAGAACACTCTCGCCATCCCTATGTGAAGGGTATTCTGTTAAAGGAATCCAGGGACTCGATGGTTTGGTCAACCCCTGCGAGGGGGTTGTACCCGTGCCTGAGTCCAGGGGGACATTTTGGTGGTGGAGTTAGCCTGTTCCCGGCTTTCCACTTATCCAGGTCATCACCCTGGAACCCTGGGTCAGCGCTACCTGCATGGCAGGGAGCTAGTCGAACCAGAGCCTATGCAACCAGTCACTGTCTGTAATCGATAAAGTTGTGGCCTAAATTCTGCCAAAAACCAAACCAAAATTTGAGTCGTGTGAATTTATTTAGGGGGGAGGTTCCTGGGTCTGAACACGCGAAAGGGAAAGGGAAAGGAGAAATGGATGCATAGGTTGGTATCTAAATATGCTATGCTGCCATCATATGCCAAATATTAACTTTTTGAAGAGCTGTTGCTCTTGGCAGAAGGCAAGCTTCATAGCCTAAGAGGATGTGGTTGGAGTGGAGTTTTCATGCCCTGCATGTTCATTGTGTTCGTGCTACTGATGCAAACATTATCTATAATTACATTTTCAAGAGACCGAAAATTGCAGCCCTTTGTTGCACAAAATTGCTCCTAAAAGAATGGAATGTATATCCTTTCCGTCCTCATTTAAAAAGGGGGGGGGGGCTTCAAAGGATAAGAATGTATAAGGCTCTCAGCTATACAAAACCAGGCCCAGTCACCTGTTCGGGACAGAAAATATATCCCGAATCAAATACTGCAAAATGCTAAAGAGAGTGTTGATAGCACAATACTAACAATGGCAAGGCGTTGTTCAAACTGATGGTTTGGGGTTTGATTTATTTCACAACCTCTATATACCTCTTGATTGTAATAAAACCTCTAAGAGGTTTACAGAAAATCAACAATAAGCAAAAGGAGATTAAAACACATGCCAGCTTCTACACGTCTAACTAGACTTGCCCAAACAAAAAGGGTTTTATGCAAGGGCTGAAAAGAGTACAGGAAACTCACCTGTCTTGTGTCAATAGGAAGGGAGTGACAACGTGTAGGTGCTGCCGTACTAGAAGATTGAACAAGTGTTACTGATCATACCCCCGCAACTTCTGACTTTAAAATGTAAATTCCTTAAGGCAAAGACTTGGCTTCTGCGTCTGTTACACCATAAAGCATAGTGTAAGCTAATAGGTCTAGCTAGATGGCAGTGGTGGCCATTGTGGTTGTGTTTTAACAACAACTTCAGTGGGATTGAAGCAGCCTGAATGCATGCAGGATTGCAGCCGATTGCTATAGCAAAGCCAATTGCACATTTTTTTCCTGAGTATCCAGAGCTATTGCAAATACTGCAGATGCACCTCATGTGCAGCGTAGCAGTTTTCCTCCGCTTGATAATAAGCCTGACAACTAGGGTAGTAGGATATGCTGGCCTTAGAATAAATTCAGAAAATTGAGGGCAATTTATGCAACATTCCAGGGGCACAAAGTGGTTACTCATGCAGGGCTCCATGTAGTCTAGATTCTCACAAGAAAGCTTCTTCACTCATGTGCCAGTTCCTCATGTGCTGTGTTGGCACATCAGGGCAGCTTCCTTCTCAGCCATAGGTTACTGGCATGGGAAAGCTACATGTGAGAGGACTTTTATCTGGCTAATGCCTTTTAAGGAAGACACATGCAACCTATCAAGGGTAAGTGCTTGTTGCTTCTCAGATGGCCATTTGAAGGTCAGTCATTACACCAGCTGTATGAAAGTCACCGAGAAGCAGCTGAAGAGGTCAAATGTATACAGAGATGTTTAGTGTGTGGTTTTCCAAGTTGCATGGCATCTCTTCACACCACCGCTGAGCATTCCTAAAAGTGGATGATGCTGGTGTGAAGAGACTCCATGTGAACTAGGGTTGAGTCACACAGGAGTTGGTTCACATGCTGTCTGGAGCCTCCAGGTGACTGTAGAAGCTGTTATGTTTTGACAGCTGCTACAGTCATTTCCGTAGAGCACCCTTCCAATACACTCTCTGAACATTTAAATTTGGTATCTGTGTATTAAAACTCAAAAGTGGAATCGCTGCTATGGGGAAGCATTTTCTTGTGTCTTCAATGTGGTTGCTTTAACAGATAGATTGGCTCTACATGAGCAAGTATGTGGCTTCCAAGGGGACCGTCATGTGTTTAAGTAAAGGCTGGAGATGCTTACGTAAATTCTGTCTGATGCATTCCACCCCAGATTTTAAGGTTCCAATCAAATCCACACTAGACGAAAATTGAAAGAAGATAAACTCTTTGCCCCCATCAAGGTACTCAAATTCCTCTTTAACATTTTTATTGTTTATTTGCACAGTTGCAAAACTGTTTTAAGGGTGTGTGTGTTTTTCCTACTTTAAACGTTTGGAATTGTGCTGTTGTTGTTTTATATCTGCTTCCCCATTTTCCACCAGAGGGCAAATAGTAGCTGTTGCAAAATCCATCACTGACATTTCCAAAATTCACAATTCAAATGGTCTGGAATCCAAGAGATATCAGAATGTTGGAACAATGACGGAGCTGGAACCCTATGGAATAAGAATTGAGTGAAATGGAGGAGATCCCTTCATCCCTAGTAAATGTTTCCAGAATTGCTTGTCATAATTCTCTAGAATGGAACAAGCCAGAAAAGCAGCACTTTATGCTTGGCTGCCATTAAAGGTCATTCATTCAAGTCAGCCTTCTGGTTGAAACCTGTGACTGCTGCATTCCTTTGTGCATTTCGCAAAGAAGCTGATTGAGCTTTCTTTACATCTCTTTCAATACAAGTACAAAAAAAGTTGCGTTAAGTGTAGATGTTAACCACATTCTTGAGTCCCCTCCAGCTGAACCGTATGTTGTCAGAGCAGCTGGGGGGAAACAAGGCAGGGAATTAGATAAAGCCAAAGGTTTGTTGGCTTCATTAATGCACCTGAATTCTCAAGGCACAAATGCATTGGGGTGTGAATTTTTTGGCAAGGCTCAGGCTATGATCCCCTGAAAAGTCGGGATGATGTAGATGCAACATTAGTGCTATTAAGGCATTGGCAAATGTGTCCTTGGAGAGGCTGCGGGACCATGTGCGCCACTCTTGCATGCTCCACGACAACCTTTTTCTCATTGAGCAAGAAGGTCTGGAGTGGAGTTGCCAGCATATTTGGCAGAATGCAGTTGTAGTCTTCTCTAGGAATCCTGTGTGATCAATGCACAGAATATCAGAGGGGAGCACACACAATCCCTCCCTGCATACTACTAATGGTGCCGTGCTGTGCAAGAGTGTGAAAGACATGCGTCTATCAGTGCTGTGCTCCCTTGTGAGTCATGAGAGCACATCCCAATTTTCGTCAGTGCAATGTTGGAGGGTATGCTTGCCATTGCCTCTGGCTCCATTGATTGTTTGGGCTCCCTGCTTTCTGTCCTACTGGCCCCAATTAGCACTGGCCACCACTGCTATGTGTTCAGATGTAGAGAGGGCAGACCACTGAGTGGAGGCTAGTGGATATTTGCCCTTCCAGCTGTCAGGGCCTGGTTGAATGAGGAGGAGAGCTGGGAGCCGCTAGCCCAGGGAGGGCTCAGATTAGCTGGCAGAAGAAGAGTAATTGAAGCCTGCCTCTCAAGAGCCCCCCAGGGAAACCTCTGAAGATGACAACTTAAAGCAGCGGTTCTGAACCTGTGGGTCCCCACATGTTGTTGGACTACAACGCCCATCATCCCTGAGCTCTGGCCTTGCTAGCTAGGGATGATGGGAGCTGTAGTCCAACAACATCTGGGGACCCACAAGTTGAGAACCGCTGCCTTAGGGTGTGGAGCCTGATGGTGGGGCACTGAGGAGCAGTCGGCAGAAGGGATGAGCTGGGAGCTGATAGAAGCATAAGACTTGAGCGATCAAGGCCGGGGGATCAGGAGAAGCTGAGAGTCACAGCATCCTCACAGACAGTCTCTTTTTTATATATATAGTATTTATTAATTTTCCAACAATTTAAACACAACACTACAAAAGAAAAAACGTAAAAAAAACAAAAAAAATGCAATACAATACAAAGACACTACAAAACACTAACACTAACACATAAAACTAATAAAACAAAAACAAAACCATTTCATTATCTTATCTTTCGTTCACTTGTGTCCATGACCTCCTCACACCTCCCTTTTTGTATTCCACTTCTGTTAATTGTTTCAGCAATTCCTTTCCATCTTCCTCTGTTTTCTATCCTATAGTTGTCTTAACACATTCTAACCTTATTTTTCCCTTTAATACTCTATTAATCTATTTATACTCAATTCCTCATAACATTTCTACTAAAGCCATATAACTTCATTCCAACATTTTTCTAACATTCATTAATTTTACAGTATTTCTGTAAATAATCTTTAAACTTTTTCCAGTCTTCTTCCACCGATTCTTCTCCCTGGTCTCGGATTCTGCCAGTCATTTCCGCCATTTCCATATAGTCCATCAACTTCATCTGCCATTCTTCCTCACAGACAGTCTCAGTCCTGCTGACTCTCCTTCCGCCCCCGCCCCCCAGTTGAGGAGGGCCCTTCATATTGCTGAGCAACTCACCAGTCAGGCCCAGCTCACGACCTCGACGCAGCCTCCATCTGCTTGCGAGGGATCCAGAGTGAGAGGCTAGAGAGGGAAGGGTGTGCCTTGAAGTTAGTTTCAGCAATGCTTCCACTGAGTTAAGATGGGCCAAGCACATTGCATTTCATGCCTTCTGTGTGTGTGCCTGCCTTGTGGATACCCGGCTCCTTGACAGCTCCTTGACACCAGCCTTGCAATATAAGACTCTTAGCCGCTGTAGGGACTTGCAAGAAACCCTCTGAATCCTAGTTAAAGGTCAGGAGCCATTTCATTGTATAAACTGTTTATATTACTCCCACCCAAAGGTTCTCTCCTTCTGGACCCAAAGTCTTTCAGCTGGTAAGCCAAATCACCAAACAATCTGTCTTTCCTCCAGGAGCTCCAGATTTCTCTAATACAGATATTATTGTTCACCTGTTAATGGCTTCTCAGCTTGTTGTAGCCAAATACTGGAGAACTCCTTATGCAGGCCTTTTGGGGAAATGGCTTAATTATGGGACATAATTCTTGTGGGTATGCTAACAGCATCTGAAAAAGAACACCGTGCTAGAAAAAGAAATGCAACTTTCTATAAAACAGTTCCTAATTTTATTGAATATGCACAATCTATTGAACATGCCTTCCGTCCACCAGCTTCTCATGGGACACTGTGGAACAATACATTTGTTTGATATATTCTTGCCGTACGGCATCGCTTTAAAGTCTTTATTCTAATGTACTATTCTTTAGTGCTATCTCTGTACTTCTGGGAGGAGGAGGGTGGGTTGGCAATAACGTTACTGTTGAAAGTATGAAATAAAAATACACCTCCCATCATCACATTTGGGTTCAGGGTGGTTTGCAACGTTGAAGAATATCCCCCTCCCAATAATCTCCCTCCCACATAGACATTTGAAAGGACTAAGAACATGAGAAGATAAGAAGAGCCTGCTGGATCAGGCCAATGGATCATTTGGTCATAGAATCTTAGAGTTGAAAGGGACCCCAATGATCATCTAGTCCAACCCCTTGCAATGCAGGAGCCAGTGTGGTGTAGTGGTTAAGAGTGGACTCGTAATCTGGTGAACCAGGTTCGTGTCCCCGCTCCTCCACATGCAGCTGCTGGGTGACCTTGGGCTATTCACACTTCTCTGAAGTCTCTCAGCCTCACTCACCTCACAGAGTGTTTGTTGTGGGGGAGGAAGGGAAAGGAGAATGTTAGCCGCTTTGAGACTCCTTCGGGTAGTGATAAAGAAGGATATCAAATCCAAACTCCTCCTCTTCTTCTTCTTCTTCTTCTTCTTCTTCTTCTTCTTCTTCAACTAAAGCATCCATCCAACCTCTGCTTAAGAGGAAGGAGAGTCCACAACATTATGAGGGAGTCTGTTCCACTGTCAAACAGCTCTTACCATCAGAAAGTTCTTCCTGAAGTTTAGTCAGACTCTCTTTTCATGTTAATTGAATTCAATGGTTTGAGTCCTAGCTACTGGAACAGATGAAAGTAAGCTTGCTCCTTCTTCCATGTGACAGCCCTTTAGATATTTGAAGCTGGCTATCATATCCCCTCTCAGTTTCCTCTTCTCCAGGCTAAGCATACACAACTCCCTCAACCGTTCCTCATAAGGCTTGGTTTCCAGACCTTATATCATCTTGGCTGCCCTCCTCTACAAGAGTTCCAGTTTCCTGTTCTCACAGTGACCAACCAGATACCTGGTCCCAGGTTCAAGTCAGGTAGTAGCCCATAAAGGTAAAGACATGACTTTGCTACTGCTACTCAGACAATATTGAGCTAGATGGACAAATACTCTAACCTGGTATAAGTTTCCTGTGTGCTTTCATGCTCTCTGCCTGATAGTTTTGTGTTTAAACCGGCATATCCAAATAGATGATGCATATACACACACACTACAATAAACACACAGACACACTGAATTTGCCTGCATTGCTGTGCACTGCACCTACACACTCACAAAGACTGTTTTATTCATGCTGGTGGGGCTACCTCTTGTAACACGGCTGGTTTCGTTGGCAGAGAAGCTGAACTCAGCTCCTCGGGTTATGTTCTGAAACGCTAATGGCTCCTGATACACCATTTATTGTGTTTGGAGGCTGCTGAGATACCACACAAGCATTTCCTTGTGATTTCCTGATCTTTGCATCTCTGCCCAGCTGTTTGTTATTCAGTTCAGCCATCAGCATCCGAGTCTCAATGGACCATGTAATATGCAGCTGTAGCCAGATGTAACGCTTCCACTTTCGGAGTGTTTCTCTTAGAAGTGCCGAGTGGCAGCCTAAAGACGGCTGATAACCCAGTTGCTTGTGTTAATTTAGACTCCAGAGCCACGCTGATTCTGTTTGGCAAATTTATTCCATGGCCAACAAGCAGAGCAATATTTCCCCTTCTTCAGCAACGCTGGTTGTGTTGACATTAAATACATCAGGCTGGGCCTGCACCGATAGGTTTACGTTGCTAATTCAAACAGTGGGGCAAGTCCGATCTACATAAGCAAATACATTTTTAATACAGTGCTTCAAAGGGAGAGAAAGAGAGAGAGATGCACACGCACACACGCAAACACGCATGCTGCAAGCAGAAACAGTAAACAGTGTTCAATGACAATGAAGAATGTACTGCATATGGTACTACCACCAATATCCCTGTTTTAAGATCCAGTGGAATGCAGTGGCAGATCCTATATCTGGAAATCACTGTCACCTTGTATGTCTATTACAGACCTTCCAAGTGTCCCTATTTCCCAGACACAGACACAGATTTGCAGAAGCCGTCCCGGTTTCTGGTCTGATCCCAGAATGTCCTGCTTTTCCTTAGGACATCCCTATTTTCACCAGAGAAATGTGGGGAGGGTATGGAGTTATGCGACGTGTGAGGATGTTGATGAAGATGAACATAGAATGCTGCCATATATCAAGTCAGACTTTTGGTCTGTCTATCTGTCTTGTCCAGACCAGGTAAAGCCAATTGGTGTCCACCAGATGTTGTGGGCTACAATTGCAGAAGCTGTAGATTATAGCTCCCATCAACCCTGCCATTGGTTGTACTGCCTTGAGCAGATGGGAGGTGTGGTCTCCAACATCTGGAAGGTCACAGGGTTGGCTTCCTGTGGTCTACACTCACTGTTAGAGGCTGCCCAGAGTTTCAGAGGGCGGTTTTTCCAAACCATGTCTAGACATGCCAGGATTCGAACCTGGGTCCCTCTGCCTGCCACTGAGCTACGGCAACTTCCCAAAGGAAAGAATATGGCGAAAGCTTGAATCTCCACTTATGAGATGGTGCCTCCTTAGCAGTTCCCGCCAGTTGCTTTCCAGGGCCGTTCATTTGTAAGTTTTGTGAGAGTTTCCCTACACTTAGAAAAAAATCAAATGTAAAATGCTTTGCATGTTATCAAAGGTTTTCTTGCTCTGAAATATATCTTCCAGTGAAAGCATCCCCCCACCCTTTCCAATCTATCAGGGCTTATTTGTAAGTAACCAAACAAAAATATTTAGCGGGAAATGTTCTGCGCCTCATTCCATTTTAGCCCTCTGGTGACGTTGTGTGTTTATAAGTTCCACCAAAGAGGAAGCGTGTAGCTCACTCGCATGGTAGGTGATCACTGGCGTGTTTCTGATTTTTCCAGAATTACACAGAGGGGCTTGATGCTGCCGTTGTAATGAATTATATAAGAGAAATGCAGGTTTTTGAAATAAACTCCATTTACCCGGAGCCTTAACCATTGCAAAGTCAACAGTTTTCCGATTGGCCGGCGCCAAACGTCTCTTTCAGAGGGGAAAAGAAATACTTAATGGGCTGTTTAATTGGGTGGCAAAAATTGTTTACAGTCAGCAATCCCGAGGTTTGTCATTTTAATAATGGTTAAGTTCACTCTTTACTTCTCTCACCGCCTCCCTTCCCCTCCCAGCTCTCTGTCACTGTTTCATAACCGGCTTACGTCTAGTTTAATTCATTTGTGTGTATTAAATCTGAATTTCCCTCATGCAGCCTCGGCGTTTTGCTTAATTGTGATATTGTCATCATTTGAAATGGAGACCGACAGCTGTAAAATAACAAACATTAGGGATCCCAGGGCTGGGAAAGGCACGGAGGAGGGCAACCGAAACCAGGAGCAGCTCAAGCTTTGAGCAGCTCTAAGCAAAGTGCCCCTCCCTTTATTAACCAAATTGAGGAGTTTGTAGATAAAACAGAAGCTATGATTTTATATGAAGCCAATGGGCTTCATATATTCCATCTAGCCAACACTTGTTATATATGCCAAAGACTCCTAAACTGTGATCCTTAGTATGTGATCATTAGTATGCTAAGATAATAATAATAATAATAATAATAATAATAATAATAATTTATTTGTGCCCCGCCCATCTGGCTGGGTTTCCCCAGCCTCTCTGGGCAGCTTCCAACAAAGATCAAAA